AATTATTATTACTCAAGTGGGAAGTTCGTGTGATGTTTGGCGCTGCATTTCATCGGCCAGTTTTTGAACTTTGGGAGTGTAGGATGATGTTGCTGCTCGCAAACATCGTCAAGATGGGCGTCAGTAAGTCAAGATCTGCGCTTTGGTTTTATGATGTTCATGGTTGAACAGCCTTCATTATTCAGTAAACCTCTTTCCGTAACAACGCGGGCACCCAAAAGAAGTTTGGCGGGCGCCGCGTTGGGACCACTGGATTACACAGTTCTTTCAGTGCACTCAGCCGTGCTGGAGCGGCAACTTCTCCGACACTACTGTTTGACGGGTAGTCTGGCTTAAGAACAAAGGCGTTTTAAGAGATTCGAGATTTTCGCATCTATAATGATGTTGGTCTTATGGCTTGTAACTTTGCGTGGACTTGTAGGTGGTTGCCAACGTTTCGGTGAAACATACCGCCTCCATATTCAGCCCTTAATATGCAGGAAGTAACTTTACTATCTACTCACAAGTCGACACGACTTGTTACAGACCAGAAAGCCAAACATCGACGAAGTAACTCTGGCAAACAAATGGGCTGACACAAAGCAAATACAAAATCACAGAGAAATTTAATATGATTATATTCAGTAAGGAAATTGAGAGTTAAGATAAACGTCTGTCTGTCCTCCGATAATGTTCAAGTAAATTTTTATAACTTTTAGTAAATCTTCATTATGTATTTATGTGTTTCGTATGATCCAGAGTGAAAACTACGATTATTTCCTTAAACAGCGTTAACCAGTTGATGTTTGTAATGGTGAAGTGCGGTGTTTTCTTCGCGGTACGGACTCAGTTTTTTTTAAATATTAATCAGACGAACTATGATTCTCAATGTAAACAGCGATTATTTCCCTAAACAGCTTTAACCAGTTGATGTTTGTAATGGTGAAGTGAGGTGTTTTCTTCGCGGTACGGGCTGAATTCTTAAATACTATTTAGACGATCTTCGACTTTAAGGTTAATTTATGTGCTGGGCCGAGTACCTGCAGAGGGGGCAGCTGAGCATCACCCCGTCGCCGGGGGTCACCCGATGTAGCGCCAGGACCCTCATGCACACGATGTGGACCGACTGTCCGCATCCGTATCGGCAGAACGTCACTGCAACAGATTTATCGCAATGAAACACGCAACAAAACAAATCAACTAAATTGCTCGAGAAGGCCTGTCTGATAAAATTCAGTATCAAATATTATTTTTTGCCTTTATTTTCATTCACATTGTAGTACTTGATCATTTTAAAGGACAGTGGTGATTATATGTAACACCTCCTTTGACATTCAGTAATCTTTCCCACAGAGTGTATTATTTATGTGTTTTATACGTATTTTTCAGAATGAAAAGCGATCATTTCCTTAAACAAAACTCCAATTGATTGTTATCAAGGAGACGCGTTGTGTTTGCTTTGAGGTACGAACTAAATTTTTAGCTATTATTTAGAAAAGGTGCAGCTTTAAAGGGTTAAATAAAAATTACATCAACGCGTCGTAATTATCCATTTTTAAACCACTAAAATACCAGAATTTAGTCTACAGCATTGCACAGACCTATTACCTTTATTTACATAACCGAACAGTCACGTGTCTTCACGTACCTTTCCTCGTGTCAACTGAAACGTTTCCCCAAACTTTCTGTCAAGAAATTGGACAATATATCGATACTCTGAATATGATAACAATCGATATCAAATATAATTCCACGATAACATGTAATATAGATTAACCAACATCAAATGGCATACAAAGAGTGACTTCTGTCCACGTATACTAGTGTTTCTAGCCACTTCTCTATATCATCTATCACCGTTTGTAAGGCAAGCGACAGGCGCGACCAGCCAGCATAACTCCAGTACTGACTTACCGGGTCTCCTAGATTCTAGCAGATCTTCCAGGCAAATAGGGCACATATCCTTCGGACCGACTGGTTTCGGTGGCACCGACTCCATGACATGTACGATCTTCTTCTGCACACGAGTGGGGCCGACGTGGGTACCAAGAATCAGTTCGTTCAACTCGTGGGGTACCAGCCCTGTCTGCACATAAGACAGTACAGGATACATTCAGACACTTTTGTATGGAGACCAAAAGACATTACGAAGTGACACGACGTAACCTGACGTATACCTGGTACGACAGGGGATCATCCACTTTCAATTGCAGCTTCCGGAGCAGAGTCCAGCAGATATGAAGACACAGCTCGCGCTCCTGGCGGTAAAACCGGCAAGTACAGGAATGGGGGTCTCCAAGTAGCACCTTTAGAGCAGAGCAAGAGTTTCCTCAGCCAGTCCCTTAATCTGGACTTCAGCACACGATGGAAATTATGGAGCTTTCTTAACGCTTAAGAAGCAAAATATCTCATTCAAAGCAGAGACAGGCTCCTAACTAATCCCTCATTGGTCAGTATATTCATTTACTGCAGATGAGAGTCTGAAGAGTAATGACACAAGTACATGCATTTATTTTCCTCTTATTTAGTTAAACAATCTTGGCCATAAAAAGCGAAGGACAGATCCACTTAAGAAACACAGGAATGGATAACATTAAAACAGATCTTAAATAAATACAGTACGAGCATCGTAGAAAATGTTATTTCGAATTATCAAAATGAGGACTGGTTATTATATATATATATATATTGCAATGGGAAATTTCAACTTGAAGCTCGTATAAATTATTGCAGTTTGTACTGCACCGCACAAAAATTAAATATGTTCGACAAATTTTAGTGTCGACGTACATTCCAAATTTATAGTAAATCCGTTGACAGACCTGCAGGGGCCACCTGAGGCCCTCCTCCTTTATCGTGTACGCTGCTGGGCCATTCTGCCTGATGAGGAAGAGGCGAGATCCTCCGGACAGGGACAACAGCTGCCTTGCTCGGACCGGCTCCGGACACACCAGCCTCCACCCATTCTTCCGGGCCATTCTGCTGCAACACAGGACCTTCCGATCACACAGGAAATACCGCGCGTCTATTCTTTCATTCTCCTCTTAAAGTTTTCTTGTTCTATAATTCTTGATTCCCGCTGGGCGACCACAGGAATGTCGGATGCTGCAGACCTTGGTGGATACGTAGTAGCTCCCCTCCCACCTACAGCTGTTCATTCACTCATAAAGAGCAAGCTCAGAGGTCCCTGACACAGATTTAACCCTTTGAAGTCGAAGCTTGTCTAAATATTATTTAAGAATACAGACCGTACCGCGAAGAAAACACCTCACTTGGGGATTAGCTCTATCTAGTGGGCCCAACTGAGTAGGAACCTGAAGACGGAGATAGAGCCCCATCTCCGAAACGTCGTTTTACGTTTTTTACGTTTTATTACTAGACGATGGATAATATCCAAGTAAATTTTTATTCAATTGACAACACTTCACCATCACAAAGATCATGTAGTTAACTCTGTAAGAAAATAATCGATGTTTATTCTAAGAATCATGTGGAAAACATAAATACACTCTGTGAGCTAAATTGAGTGTTATCGATTGTTAAACAAAAGATTTAAGTACTATTCAAAGTCACGGACGGACTGCGCGAACATTTTTATTCGACCTTCGACCTCTTTAAATAAACTGAGAAGAGAAATTAGAACGGCAGTGACGTAAATATTTCGGGGAAATGAGAGAAACCACGGATAATTTGTTAGAATCGAATTTCAAGGCGAACGAAGATTATTCTGATGCTGTACAGTCTGCGCAGACGCGGGTTTCCGTCACCGTCACCGTCTCCAGTAAATAAACCGATGGGTTCGTCACATTCAGGCTGACAGTGCAATACGTGCGGGCAGGGAACGGGAAGGAGACAGCACGACGTTGTTCGCACCTCCCAGGTCGCATGCAATAAAGCAGCAGCAGATTGGGTCCGGCCCTGAGCCGTCTTGTTGCCGGCCTCCTGGGAATCTCTCTACTACTAGTTACAAAAACATTTCCCCCTCCCCTGCCAAGAAAGATCAAACTGATAATATTACATGATGCAAAAACATTAGTTAAATACGAACAGAACGGTGCCCACAGCAATAAGAAGTCTGGAATCTATCAATCCACACACCCACTCACCAATCTAGAAATCTAATTATTCGGCCTCCCACTGGATTAGACATTAACCCTTCATTCATCGACAAAAAGGCAAAAATTCGGGAGATTTACAACATCGGCCGAGTTATCAGCTATCATGACTGAATTTTTCGTGGTTTTCCTTAGAATCTTCAGGCAAAAGCCGGGTCCATTGCCTTGAAATACACCGTGATGGTATTTCAAAATTATTTTCCATTTGTCACCAATATCATCTTCCCATCTCAGGCTATGGCTGACCTATGCAGTTGAAACACCGTCATTAAATGAACTTACGATATAGCTATCTTTGGTTATAACAACGGTGAAGCGTCTTAATCATATTTCGGGAATATACAGCTCCGATTTCGGCTGTCACGAGCATAACTTCGTAACATTCGAACAGCGGACATGGATTTTATGAAGTGGAAAGCGACGTACAAGATCGGATAAAAATTAAATAAAGACAAATGCCCAAACTTTCTCTTGAGTAGAAGCGAAAAGAACATTGAAACACGAATAAAATATTCAAAATAATATTAATAATACAATAAGAAGTGTTGAGCCCAGTGCGTGGAGAACACTGTTTTTAACTGTGTTACCATTTTTTACTTTAAACACGACACACCTTACTCAGAAATAATAGCCCTTCTCGTCTAAGTGAATTCATAAGATAGTATAATTGCGTCATATTGTGAATCAAATATTAAATTAATTATTCGGTTTTGTCCGTCTAATCACAATTATATTTAAAATTTAAAATTTACAAATAAGATAATTAAATTATCATTTTATGTTCCACATCGAATAATCGATTTACATTTAGAACATTTTTTTACTTTCGATTATTCGATGTGGAACATAAAATGATAATTTAATTATCTTATTTGTAAATTTTAAATTTTAAATATAATTGTGATTAGACGGACAAAACCGAATAATTAATTTAATAAGTGAATTCAGTGTTTGTCAAGACTATTTAATGTATATTTATGCCGCCTCCCTGCAGGTAACTTACGACACAAATTATTCGTTGCCACAGAAATAATATAACACAAGTTGTATTTTAACAACTGTCCAGCACGGTAAGTGTAGATGTACGAAATTAATTCATCTACGGCTCTGCTACATACGCACCTAAGCCAAACCACCTTCAAGGGGAGTATGTTTTGGACGTGAGTAGTAGTTCACAGGACATCAATGCCCAGGGAAAGACGGCGCTGCAACTAGATTGAATTTTCCAACCCGAAACTTGCACACGGTCGTAAAACAAGATCGTAAACCAGGCAAGCAATTCCTCGCTTGGCTCGTCCCTCGCTTCTCTTTCTTTCTCCAGCAGATGGCACACTTTACAACAATTACAATGTAAATAAACAAAGGCCTCCATGTTAATGGCAGTTATTGATCTCCGGACATGGCTCCCGGAGCTGCTTCAGTTGACCAGAGACCGAGAAGGACGCTAATCAGTTATGCATCCCCACAAAACTTTCCAACCGACATGAATTCATAACAATCTTATGTCTGTTCTAAAATTAATTACCATATATCTTAAAATGATAACGATTCCAACCATTTATCATGAATTGTTGAGGCGACCTTGAGGGGGGAAGGCGTTTGCAGACAGGAATCAAGCATAACATATTTCGATAAGGCGTCGTGAAAGATATCTGGACCGAAGGAACAAATATACAAAAGGAGGGCTTTTATAACTTATCATTTGTTATAATTCTTTTACCTTTCAAGTATTAGGTATTGTAACGTTCCAATTCACAATTACTGTGATTATGGATTCTTTTTAGACATCTTGTAGGACTTGTTGAATGTAGGATCGGCCTTTCGCAACTATACAGGACAGGACAACACAGCACACACGAAACAGAATGATGAACGAGAGAATAGGAGAAGATACAGAGGAGCATAACACATTCTTATCCTTCGCTTTGTGAATGTTTAGTAATTATTTAGTATTTTTAAAGAAAAGCAGGAATAGCATCCTTAGAGTAGCACAGCAGTAAAAATGTCTGAACTCTGACAACCGTCTTGAAAACGTAAACCTCAAATAAGAAAAATAGCTTAGCAGCTATGAACCATTCTGAACACAGACAATTACTTTTCATAATGGCGGTTCTGGTGACTGGCCGCACAACCAATAGTTATGTTAGGTTAGGTGTGTGTTGGGTACATCACAACATGCAAGCGTCTCTGTTTAGCGAACTCTAATAAATGCATGAATCAAACCTGACGGCTAGAACTGTTAATATTGTAGCTTTGTCTGACACAGAAGTAAATCTGACCTATCAACAAAGCATGTATACTCATCTGAACTTAATATAACTGCAGTTCTTAACAAGAACAATTACAGCATGACACAAACATAAGCACTTCTGTATGAAGTAAACAACACGAGTGTTATTAACTTTCTACATCATAAACCTAGACTAACTGAAATGAACAAAATTCAGTCTCACCTTACCACACGCGTGATTTTCAACGAGACGCTGTCGACTGGTTTGTTTTCACCGCCCCACAATGAGTCACACAAGCTGCGTAATGTTTCCTGTCAGAAATATTATCGAACAAGCCAATAGAAGTATGGAGGTCACGATCGATAATAAGCAATGGTAATAACGCAACTAAATTCTTTGTGATATTGTCCTTGATGTTCATTTGTTGTTTTCAAGCGAACAATTAATACGCTGTTGTATGGATACATTATGCATATAGCACCACGTAGTCACAAAATCCAAATAAATGTTCACCACAAGTAGTTTGGAAGGGCCAAAAATTATCAGACGAACATAAACCGCTCTCTAACCATAAAGATGGAAGCATAAAATGCTGGCAAAAATCATAACCCCCATCTTCACAGGCGTTTATTTTAAAGTAAAATATTTATCAGCCTTACCTCTTACACTGATGAATTTTATCATCACAGTATAGGAATGGTGTTCCAGCCCCGTCATTAAATTCAACTTAAGTAAATAACACAACTTTTCAATCTTCTCAAATATATTGAAAAGTTTTAATCCCCTTGACCTTCTGCGACTGTAGAATCTGGTTCACAACCCATAGATTGAGGAACATACTCATGGCCACCATCCAGATACAAGTGAATATGACGTGAATCACCTTTCGTAACACATCTGCAGTAATGCCAATTGCCTGAACCAAACTTCAGTGGCAAAAAATTCATTCATGTCCAAAATCCTACTCTTACTATACACAGGTCAGTCCGTTTTGAATTACCATTCCTCTTCAAATTTTCCACCTACCTTGTGATGCTTACAGCATGTTCTGAAACATCAACCACCATCAGCATTTCCCTGGTGTCATCACTCTGAATACAAAACCATCTCTCACACTGCACGACTAAATTACCATTGAATTTTTGAAATTTATAAAAATGTCCCAAATAAAATTTTACCATTTTTATACCACTTAAACACAAATTCATAAAAAAAAAGCAAACTTTAACCTATATAATGCAACAAGAAACCAAGCTGATTCATTCTCAACTTTTAACCACTGCTTTCTTAAAGTTATAAACCAACTTCACACATCTACAAAGTGAGACAAATCAAAACCATATATATAACTTACCCATTCAACATTATGATACAAACACAGGCATAAATTTTATGTGCAATATGTACCATTCAATAAACAAAATCCCTCAAAAGTTCAGTACAATCTACAATGGCTTTACAAATAATTTGCCCCTCACAAAAGCAGATTTAAAACTGCACACATGCAACAAGAAACCAAGCTGATTCATTCTCAACTTTTAACCACTGCTTTCTTAAAGTTATAAACCAACTTCACACATCTACAAAGTGAGACAAATCAAAACCATATATATAACTTACCCATTCAACATTATGATACAAACACAGGCATAAATTTTATGTGCAATATGTACCATTCAATAAACAAAATCCCTCAAAAGTTCAGTTCACAAAAGCAGATTTAAAACTGCACACAAATTTTTACACATTCTGTATACAGCACAGCACCTTTTGACAAATAGGTCTTCTGAAATCACACATGAAACATGAAAGGATACATGGAAAAACAGCAATCAAGAACAAAGGAACATGACAAAACAAGAAAAATTCAATTTTTTTGGCTTGTTTATTCAAAATGCACATGTTTCGTGAAAAATTAAGTTTCTTTTTGTACATCAGTGCATGGCAGGCACTGTTTGGAACACCAAACTTGATATAACATCACTTTATTATGGATCTTCTTTTCGATTTAATTTAAAGCATCTCTGCTTATGCTTTGCACTTATTATGCCAAAGATGGATCGTTACAACGTGTAAATTAAATAACTCTCTACATCTTGAATGTTGGCCAGGTCTCTCATACGAACATTCCGGACCAAATACCTTGTTATTGCTGTCACAAACTTAAAGCTGATTTGACTAACTCCAGTCATATGTATCTTGTGTGTACGTAAAAAAATTTAATCTTTTGTAGTGACCATCAAACCCAGTGTTGGTGAAAACTGGTGATGTCTGCATTGATAATAGGCTTTCCAAATATGTACACTATCTTCCTTACATATAATGCAATTTCTCATTTCATCAAACACATGCATTGTTGGACAAGCATGGATTCATTGGTTGGTTATATTTATCACCTGATCCTACAGAAAAAACAGGAAGTCAATCAAGCACATAACAACACCTGCCCCGGTCAACTTACACACAGAAAAACAACGCACAATAGAGAACCCAGACTGAGAGGGGGGCAGGACAAATGGAGAAACAAGTTGCAGTATTTGTGTTTCATTTTTGCTACTTAAAAACCCAACAACCCCACTGAATTCCCCAAAGCTGCAAATTTTAATTTCATGCCTGACCCGGAGACGTGGGGCGTTACTAAATGTAGGATGTACGATCAACCTCTCCCTCCAGTTGCTATGTGCTACGGACACTCCTCCTATGATTAAAAAGACTCGTCCAACAAGACTCAAAATCAAACCACACTTCTGTGGAAAAGTGTACCAAATAAAAATTAAACTCAAATGGTCGGATAACTAAACATTATGACCACAATATGCTGGCTACCTTAATGTTAACGACCGCTGGCGGAAGATTATAAACACGACAAACATGAATCCACTGCATTCAAAGATAGAAAATGAAACAAATATTATTAACAGAAGAAACATGGGTGGAAATATTAAAAACTGTAACTATCAAACTCTCAAGACAACAAAAGATCTTTCACAAGTTAAAACCAAACCTCGGCAAATCTCTGTTAATGTATTTTGTCTACTTCTGACGCCAGATATCCTCCTTATATTGGGGTTCATATGCGATCATAAGTCTCAAGGGCTAAGGTTTCATTTTGAGCCTTGATACATTTACTTTTGGTGGTTAGGTGGAAAGATGTTTACGTCTCAAGAGGACTCAACGCAGGTTATCATTTTTTCTCAGGAGGTGTCTTCACTCTAAAATTAAAATCAGGTCTGCTTTGCTTGTTTTATCTCATGCACTAACACAAAATTGGATGTTAAGATTTTTTAAGTTGCCTTTGGATCTACTAAGTGGCATTAGAGAGCGCCAGGCCAGCAAGCGCCATGTGGGTGAGTTGGCTAAGCGTTGCTCTCTGTGGTTGTATTCTGCACAGCTTGTGTGGTTTCCTGTACCAACAAAATATTCAGGTTTTTATAACAGACAGTTACGTAACAAAAGTGCATACCTACTACAACTCACAACGTAAAACGGAAAGACTTAGACAGCTGAGAAAGGGGACTCACAAAAAATATAAACCCATAAAAAAAATGAGTGGACTTCTTCAACATAGGAATACTGCAAATTCATGAAAGGCTTAGAAAAGGCTATAATAAACAAACGGCAGGAAGATGGCCGTCTTCTGGGTTGTAGCGTCATGTAATCGGGTATAAGTTAACCAACATTTCAGAGAAGCGAGTGATGAGTCATTGCCCTCATGATGGAGGCAACAAGTACCTCTGAAATGTTGGTAAACTTCTATCAGACTACACGGTGCTACAACTGAGAAAACAATCATCTTCAGACTCAAAATGCGAAAACATCAAATCCCGCTAAACAAATTGTAGTTCGCTGTAATAAGAAATTAAAATGCTAAATGTGAAGGCTAGAAATTACGTAGGGCAGTCAAAAAGTTCCCGGATTTGTGGCATAGCTCTGTAATGGTAGGACATATGGCAACGCTTACCTAATCACCTTCAAAGTAGGTCCCTTGCGCACACACACACACACACACACACTTGCTCCATCGATCCCGCCATTGTTGGAAGTGCTGGCGGAAGGCTTCGTTTGGAATCTTCCGGAGTTCGGCCATCGCGTTCGATTTGATGTCCTCCATGGTTGCGAAACGCGTCCCCTTGAGGCCCATTTTCAGAGTAGGGAACAGCCAGAAGTCCCTCGGAGCGAGATACGGAGAGTATGGCGGTTGGGTGATGGCAGCAATGCTTTTCTCAGCGAGGAATTGCTGCCCATTATGTCCTGCCATTACCGTGCTATACCACAATTCTGGGAACTTTTTGACTGCCCCTCGTATAAACTTACAATGGTACAGATGTTGGATTTCAATTTCTTTATTGTTTTAAAACTTTCATTTTAAGCACAAACGCTATTTCTTACTGGCGACCAGAGCCTTGTGATGTGTATGCTACACTCACAATAATCTTGTTTCACACAGACACTGAAATGAGCAGCCATTACATTACATCTACAACAGATCATGCTCTAGGTACTCACTTGTGAATGTGGTGACCCTTCGGATGGTTCCGACTGAAAAAAAGAAAAGACGTGCATCACATTACAACCATGCACCACCAATATATTCCTACTGCTGTGCAGTCTGGGTGCAAAAAAAAAAAAAAAATCAAGAAATTTAAAACATGCCACACGCCTCAGACAAAAATCCCTCAGTTTGGGTACATCTTGAACACAAGCAAATTTCATGACATGAACGGCAGTTCACCAATTTCATGAGACACAATGACCCGGATGTGCACAAGCTGTGATGCGTGACTGATGAAGCTCAATCTAAGGGGGCAAATTTACTTTACTTCTTAATTAGGTACGACAGTTCTACAGAATGCGACAAACACAACATTTTCTGCTATCACAGGAACGTAGCATTTCCAAACACGAGAGAAAAAAGTCCAATCTTATGACAAAGTTGCAGAAATAAAATGTAAAGTGAATATGATTTAGAAAGATAAGAGAAGGGAAGAGGGCTACAGACAACACTTGGCAAATGCAACGAACAACACACAAAGCAACTCAATGCTGAACTTGCCTTGCCTTCCCAGTCTCCACCATCTGACTCGTTCTGCGAAACCAAATATTTCCATATGAATATAAACACCCACCCTAATACAAACACAGTACAATTACAAGCAAGACTACAACTTCCATTGCAGTTATACAAAGTAACTCTTCTCCATCCACACCCCACTCTGTAAAGTTACCAAAAATGTAACTTTAAAGGATTTCAGCAATTTTTACCTGCTCTAAAGCAGAAGTCCTCAAACTTTTCCCAGAGATTTACATGGAATTCTTTCATCTTTAATTTTTAAAATGAAAACCCAAAAGACATTTTAATTTTCTTTACCTCACTTCATTATATTTTATATATATATATATATTACATATAAACATTTTTTGCCTTCATATTTTATGCATGAGACTTCCCAATGGCCGTGGCCTGTAAAAGCAAATCATGTTATGACATCACAGTTACAAAACTGAACATGTTCACTGCTGCAGAACTCTTGAGATTGCAAAAACGTTAGTAGCACGACCAGACAGTAAAGAACATGTAAGCAGCCAAGACAAAACTGACAGCTTTTCAGAAACTGAAAATTTTCACACAGATCTGTTTAACTGAAATATAACACGATAGTGATTCTTTTAGGGCATTTCTACAAGCAAATAATGCCCGACAACTGAATAACAAAACCCAATGATTTTGTGCAGTAACTGTTAACACTGGTGACCTCATGCGTACCAGAGCAACTAACAACAAAATTATGCAGTTTTGTATCAAATAGTTGCTAGAATTTAGTTTGATCTGCCCAAAAAAATTGGAAAATAAACTTTAGATCTTTCGGCCACTCTGACAGGGTAAATCGGAAAACAGAATAGAACAGTGACGTGATACAACAGTTCAAGTTAGGCTCAGAAATGAAACAAAAGTTTCTTCAAGACTGGAAAGAGGGTATGGAAAAAATGTACATCTGCTTCTCTCATATCATAATTGCATCAGAGAAACTGACTGCTTTGAATTTAAATTTAAACCAAAATAGGCAACCAAGCATTCTACCTTCACTTTCTGGAGTATTTACAGCAGCAAAAACTTTAATTTGCGTTGTGCAGCTGTATGCTCAAAAAATAAAAATCACCTTCACAGGATCTAATTTTGAATCACTCGAAGAAATTCTGGAGAAAAAAAAAAAGGACTGAAAAAGACTTTTAGAAAACAATTCCACCAGTTTTCCCAAACAAAGTGAAAACACCAAAACGTACATAAACCGAGTACCTCGACGCTGACCGAACTCACTACAGGTTAACAAGAACTATTTTTTGTAGGATAAATCATCATTTTTAATTGTTAATCTCATATCTAACGTACTTCACAGTTCACTAAATTTGAAATTCCTAATAACACAACTGAAACAGGGCGCAGCAGTTGGCCTCGCTACATACCTTGCCTTTACCTTCACCCTCACTCTGACTGTTGCGTGGTGGTCCACGAGACTGGCGAGGTAAACGGCGGCGGTATCGAGGACGTGGTGGTCTTCCTCCCTGAGGACCTTCACCCCTTGGCTCACGGCCCTCACTCTCACTCACATTCTGCACAAGCAAATAAATGTGGTGGGCTCATCATATAAACACTACTCGGCAACAAAGCAGACCATTCTCACCGCCACAACTACTCACCTGCCCATCTTGGACTCGTGGTCGCCGGGGAGGACCGCGCCCTCCTCTGAAGTTCCGACGGAAGAAGCGCCGAGGAGGCCCTCCGCGCCCTCGAACACCACGACCTTCGCCACCCTCAAAGTCACCAGCCTCTTTCAACTCTCCCTGTTAATGGTAACAGAGCTTCAGATACAAACAAGACGCGTACCAATAATTCTTCTGTACAACCTTAACCACAACCACTAAAATTCAGTGAACGCATTTAGGAGCAATTTCACTGTCAGTAGCCTCAACTTCCCATGTTAAGGTCAATCCTATATAAAGAAATGGCAAGTCAATCATAAAAGATTCATCCACAGAATATCAATGGCAGACAAAATAAATAGCACACTCGAGTGTTCCGAACTGAAATTAAGAGCTACAGAAAGTAGTGCACATATAACACATACCCCGTCTTGATTTTGAGAGTCACTTCTGGGTGGAGGGCGACGTGGCCGGCTAGTGTAATAATTGTTGGGCTCAAAGCGACGTCGGGGTCTGTAACGCCGGGGCTGGCCACCTTCACGTACCTCTGCTCCCTCGTCTCCCTTACCCTCACCACTCTCATACCCTATGATTCAGAAATCAGGCATTCAAAATCCTTAATTACAATACAAAACAATCATTTCTTCAAAAATTTCCATTCCGACAGAAAAAATGTCATTGAAAATTAGCAATATTTACAATAATAGGAAATGGTCTCAACCATTAAACATAGGACTGAATTATTCTTTCAAAACAATAACTGGACACTGTTAATAAGGAAAATCCTGTGCTTCTTTAATTTCACTCGATACATCTGACAGACACCCGAAGAACCAACCTTCAGTGTCTTCACGAGGCCTTCGTGGCCGCATGCCCCCACCACCACGCCTCGGGTAGAACCACTGACGATAGCCTCGCCTCTTGTCTGCAGCATAGGGAGACCCTTTTACTGGCTCCCCATTGGGACCAGTCACATTAGCAGCCTCATTTCCCTTCTCGCCTACCACCACATCAAATTCTACCACTTCACCATCCCCCACACTGCGCACTGCCTTCTTGGGGTTGTTCTTCACAATGGCTGACTGTTGACAACAAATTATTTTACTATGCTACAAAGTGACATAATCCTGCTTGGGTTCTGGCACCATGTACAAGCTGGCTTGTTACTGATATTTACTTCAACCCTGATGATCGGGGACAGTATGGCCCTCTGAAATGTTGGCAACAAGCTAATATCTACATATTGCCATCACCCAAAATAAAATCCCAGGTAATAAGGAAGCTTAAAATCAGTTACAGTGTGTGTATTAATATTAACAGAGTAGCCTATCAAATTTACGATGAAAAAGTATTTTTCGCTTAATTTTGTAACATTTACAGACAAATACCACTCTTCTAACCGTTTCAATGCTATGCACAAGATGTCTTACTCGGAAGCAATAGTCGTCTTGCTCTGAATTTATTTGGAATTTAAAAAGTCAGAAAATCTCAAATCCAAATCTACAAATTCATGATTCTAAAACACCAAATTTTCCAAAGTCATCATACACCCTTCCGTCTGTATCCAGTAAATGATGTCAAAACCAACCACCACCAGCCGAAGCCGCATTTAATTCAACCTGAATATAGCAAGATGTAAGGTTACAATGTAAATATATGAATCAACTTACTTGATGAACAAACACATCATCTTTGGTGTCATTTCTGAAAACAAAGAAGGTACAAATTTATGAACAGTTCTTTTACACAACCAAATATCACGTGTCGAACATTCTCCGATTAACCACAGCAATGCTTCGAAACGCGACACTTGGAAATCAAATAAAATTAACATGCAAGTTTCCCCACCATTATTCCACACAGATTTATCATCATGCTACACGCTCAGTCCACCACAGCCCTCAACATCATTAGGCAAGCCATGTAAACCATAATATTCACTGTTAAACCTTCTCAGGCCTGTGTTAATCAAATTGAGATGAAGTTTGGTAAAAATGCCTTAAATGCAAGTGTTATTGTAGTCAGTTAACCCTGTAAGTCTAGCAGTAAATATATATATATATATATATATATATATATATATATATATATACACACACACACACACACACGCTTTTATAATCAATAACTCTGCATATTACCCAGTGTATTTCTGGGTTTCATATAATTCTCAGGATAAATAGCAAATATTTCCTTACACAGTCTTAACCAAGTAATCTTCAATAATTGTGGTTTACTTTTAATATTCATCGTATGAAAAAAAACATGAGTTCACTATCCTGAATGCAATTGATGAATGTAAGGTGTTACGAAGGCCCGCACACTGAATATGAACGGCAAACACATCAATCCTACACCAAACTGAGTCAAAATCTACTTCAGAATTCACACGATTCCAAAGCCACCGTGCACTAAATGATGGGCAAAATATTGGTTATAAACTCCACAAAACTACACGAGAAGCTAACAGTCGTTCAGCTAGTCAAGAAAATCCCTACCTTTTACAAAAACCCAAAGGTTAATTACAGTGAGACCCACCATGTCCACATACATAATTTCTTTATAACCCATTTCAATAATATCCTCTCCCATATAAGTCTAGGCCTTGCAGTCGTCAGGTTTCCAAACCAAAATTACGTATGCATTTCTCATTTAATAATAAAAGTGTCATGAGATTCATCGTGTACCAGAGACGCTGCAGGTTCCACAGCTTGTAACATCGCCGGAAGGGTACCGTGTTATTTCTGCCAAGCTGTACCTATCCTCTGTTCCTTTTTTTTGTGTGTGAACGGGACTTCAATTTACAGTCCCCTGCCGAGCGCGAGAGCTAGTGCGCAAGTCATATTCTACCAGGGGTCGTTGCACCATCTGCGCGGACAGTCACCAGTTTGCAGTTCAGCCAAACATCCTTCCCACTAAAATGAACCATCCATCCCCCCCCCCCCCCCCTCATCAGATTTCCATACAACTCACGTCACACGCGTTGTTATGGGAACACGAAATGCGTACCCAGAATTTACGGCCCCATTTCGGGGCATAATCTTGCCTTCCATCAATTACCATTTCTTGCACTCCTTTATGGATTCCCGACTCGCAGTCATAAACTTAAATAAAAACACGGTGAAATGTCACAGGCATTTCTGGTGCAGATTAAAAAAATTTAAATAAGGCCGGCAACGAGCACATACTTTAAATAACGCAACTCGTATTCATTACAATTTTTTTTTAAAATCTTAGACGCTTCTCAGAAAACCCTTTGTGGTCAAAATAGATGTAGCATGCCAATTTCACTAGTGGTTACATTTCTGGACTGCCAAAACAACGGAAGTGGAGGTGAACTTAAACCCCCCCCCCGTGCTCAATGGAGGGGAAACGTGGGTGGGATCCAGAGAGGGTCTTGGATGCTGCTAAAAGAAAAATTGGTTGTTCCTGTTAGGAAGGAAAACCCCAGTCATATGGCCAATCTCCATAGTAAGCAACCCTAAAATTCCCCACCTCCCTTTACGGAACATTATTACGGGTTCATGACCATGTTCACAGGAACCTGTTACTAGCCCCAATCCCCAGAAAAAGAATCGGCCCAATTTTTACAGTTCTCATAAGCCCAACACCCAACCATCCCTGCAAGCTGATTGATCACCCCTTGTCAGTTGTCCGAGTCCTATTATCGAATACATAAGAAGATACCCAACCGGAGGGTTCCTTCTCCATCCACAACCAAATGACATGCTACGCCATTCATATCAACTGGCATTTACGTAATACAGATTACAGTGACATGGTACAGTGATAACTGTCTGTAAAGGCCACATTACAGTGAACTACTGCTTGTTAGTTATTCCTAGAGTGCGGAATTCATCACCAGGTTGCACACAATTTCCATGCCCCCGACCTCCCATTCCATTGACTAGTGGATAGTCAATTCATGAAACTGCTTCCTGGTAGCTGTGTGAACCCTCGGAAACATGTTTTAAAGAGTTTAGTTGGTTAAAATTACACAATGAAAAATCCTTCATACACTGCATTAGTATTCTCATATTTTAAAGAAATCCGAGAGGTAACAAAACGCCTTTTCAAAATCAGATGTCTTCAAGAAGCCTGTGGATAAATTAATTTTGCAATTTAAATGCAAAGGACAGAAATGCTCTTCTGAGGTTAAAAACCCAAAACTAGATCAAAAATCAGGCATGTGTATTATGAAAATTCCAACATATTAGTCTTTTTCATAACTTCTCCCCAAAGCTCCAACTGCACTTCTTCAGAATACACAATAAACATACTTAAAAATGTTTAACCTAAATTGCATCAAAGTTAAATGATCAATCAAATTTTTAAGGTTAGCCCATAATATCGACACATTGACGCAAGAAATATCAAACAAAATTTTAAAGACTAAATATGAATTAAAAATGCAATTCAAAATTATCTTACTGTATGTCAAGGATGCCTAATACCAACTCAGTTTCTACATTTTTCTTAAATGAAACACAACACAAACGAGAAATAATGTAAATACAAAGGCACACCAACTAACATATTTAAACACGCTATTCTTTGCCAAAGACAAGTAATAATGTATAATTAAGAGAATAAATACAGGTATCATCATTTGGCATTTTGAGGTTAAAAACACACAAGGACTAAAATTGTGGCAAACAATATGAATCAACCCTTTCAACCACCTCTAAAGCTCAATTCTTATAAAAGGAGAAATAGATACAGATTCTAAAAACCCCCCACTAAATGCCCAAAACTTGCAAACTACAACTATTTGTCCTTTTTATTCATACAGCTTTATCACATGCAGTAGTAATACTACACAATTTAAAATCTGCTAAGTACATTACAGAAGTTACTACCACTGCTTTATTTAGAGACTACGATGATATTTTGAAATGTAAAGTTTGTCCCACTTGGGGTGAGTGGAGGTATAGCTCCTCTCTTTCTTGACCTTGGCACTAGATGGGGGTGAGTGGTCAGCATCACGCCCCGGCCGGCTTTACCCCCTGGAAAGGAACCCGGTACCCATTGTAGAGGAGGCTGGGTGGGACCGAGAGCCGGTCTGGACGCAGAGGCTAGAGGAAAAATCCTCTGCCCCCACCGGGGATCGACCCCCGGTCGTCCAGCCCGTAGCTAGTCACTATACTGACTGAGCTAGCCTGGCTCATTTTGAAATGTAAAATCTCATTAAAATGGTTAACACAAAATATTATAAACAGTCCAAACAAAAGAACATCTGAAAGACCAAGTATACCCATGCAAATTAAAACTCTAATAAAACAAGGCCGGCATTCTTCAGTAAGCTCCTGGTAAATACCCAATTAATTTGTCACCCTCACTACGAGCTGCAATAATTTATACATCCTGACTGACAATGGAGGCTCACCTGTTTATGAATCCATACCCACTCTTCACATTAAACCACTTCACAGTCCCGTTAACTTTGGTTGCTGAAAGAAAGCAGTTTTAAATATCAAGTACAAAAATATACAAAATGCTGGGCACTTCTTTAAAAAAAAAAACTGACAAAATATGGGCACTAATAACTGGAACTTTATTTCTGAGTACTAGAAAAACATGTATTATTTACATTTATTAGAATTACTTGAATATGTGAGGGGAAAATTAAGGTCAGGAAAGAATGTGCAAAGTAAGTAGCAAACAGAATTCCACGTACTCACTGACAGGCTTAGCCTGTACAAGTTTTATGATTGGTAATTAATGTAGAAAGATAGTCCGTATATGAGTCAGCATTTTACCCACATAAACACCAAAATGGACAGTAACATTTAGATTGCGATCCTGTGGGCCATGATAGAACATCACATGGTTTTGTTGGGGCTACCAATATCTCATAAGAAGATATTGCTTCAAACTTCAGGTCAGAAGATGGAAACAGCATGTTCTTTTGAAGCATTTATAACCAAGAACATTACATAGTGTCAAACCCAGAAGACCAAAAACTGAACACTCACCACTGTGAAAATTGCATACATCAGTAATACTTGGTGTTTGTAAATTCATTACAACAGCTGACCTAGAATAAAGACTTTAAGTCCGAGTAACAATCTTCGATATAATCTCTCCAAAATCCACAACTAAACCATCAAAAGGCTTCATAAGTGAAGAAAATGGCCCTACAAAATCACCAGTAGAGCAGTTTACTTTGTAGAATTTGACATTGAGTCTGAGGACAGCTGTCTTCTGGGTTGTAGCACAATGTGGTCAGATCTCCCTTATCAGGATGATGAGTCACGGTACTACAACCCAGAAGACGGCTAACTGCAGTTTACTTTGGATAACTGCAGGCATCTGCTGATGGTTAGGGAGGGAATGGCTAGTTTCATGAAGACGATTTACCATACCCTACAAATGCATGTATCTCTGCATAATATAATGCAGTTTGCAGCACCGTGCTTTGTGACTATGTTACACCTCTAGTATTTAAACCATGTTGGTCTCTTATCAAAAGCACTAATATCTGGGGGGGAAAAAACCTGAAGCTGAACACAATATAAACTGATGCCTATTTTCAAGTATTTTCCTGCACCTATTAGTTTAAAAACACCAAAGTAATAGACAAGCAGAGATGTCAAAGAATATGCATCAGTTTGACACACCTCTGATAAATACCTTTAGACTAATATTACTAAAATATTTGAACCATGTGTAGTCAGCTAAAGACACTACCTGTTAAGTTACGCAGTACTAAAACACACATAAAACTTACAAGTACAATTATAAAAAAATCAAAATACATCTACACTTTCTGATATAGACTATTTTGTACATATAAAACATATGTACCCCAAAACACAAGGGAAGAGCATATAAACAAATGAGACTAGCCACTGTATTTTCTAGAGATAATGTACTAGTTTGTGAAGAAAATATCAGACCAGCATTACATTTTCAATGCTTGAAAAGTGGTAAACAGTTAAAAAAGTTCAATCAATGCTGGAAAATCAAACTGTAGCACCTGTTCTTACACTTCAAGAATATAACTGTAACATAGTGTGATGTGTTACCATGATAGCAGCACAACAATGTCAATAAACAATTCAGTTGTCTGTTTATTGAAATTATTGTGTTTGGCATTGTTGTATTAGTTTATAATTGTTGTTTGTTTATAGTCAGTTGCATTTGGCATTGTTGTATTCGTTTATAATTGTTGTGTGTCTATTGGTATTGTTGTATTTGTTTATAGTCATTGTTGTGTTCAAACAATAGTAAGTGGAACAAATACTTCACAAAAAGAGCCATTTTACCCATCATCTCACACTAAAACTAGCACAACAGCTTAATCCAACACAGAATGTGGACTTGCCTTACTAAAACCCTTGCAAGAAGAGACACATATGGTTCAGATTGCTGAATATAAGCTGTTTTTCTCCGCTGTCATGCCAGAAGGACTGGTAAACAGATGCCATGGTTTTGGACAAAGTGTCTCCATCTTCAGGACTTACCTTCTTAAGAGGCCAAATGGCATCACATCCCAGAATAATGTCATCTTCAATATTGTGAGAAAACCAAATCTTACATAAATATAACGAGCTTATCAGGATCAAGTAAATTCACATGCTTGGGCAATGATTGCATGTACAGGTAATATCATATTTTAACCTAGAAGCCTATTTATTATGTATCAGCATTTGAACACTGCTTCTTCCACTGGTCAAATAACAATGCTCAAACAAGAGCCATGCAGGATCTTTTACAACCTTCACGCCACTGCTTCGTGAAGAATTGTGATAGTGAAGTGAGGGAAATGCTTCTGAATCTAATGACTGTTTCTTCTGTGATAAACAAGAAAGACTATAAAAGTATCATACTGAATTGAAGTTCAGATTCTTCCTAATATTGTCTGAAAAATTCACAAAATTATGTTCAGCAGTTTCACACAATGGAAAATTTGCAATATAGCATGAATCTAAAACGCCACTATTTGCATATACTATACCTAGAATATATGGCTGGCTTGTTTGATAACCAACAAAAGCTTCTGTAGAATATATGACAATCCCTAAGCTTTCAATCATACAGCATAATTGACATTCTATATTCAACCCTACGACCACGTTCAATAGAACAGAAAGATATCACACAATGTGTAATTACAACAATAAAATAGTTTCATACTGCTTAAATGTGTAAATTCAGCAATCCAAGTTGCCATCATCTTGAACTCTGCCTTGCAACTTTCGGCTCATTTTACTGCATTCCTAGACCGTTCAATTTTCGAAATGTTCTTACTTTGGTAAAGCAGAAGTAGACTCAATTCTACTTCTAAACCATGCACACATTAGCATTTTATATTTCGAATATATTTCGATATTCGTAGGACGGCCACATGTGCAGCCGCAGACGCTGAAAAGATGGAGGTGTGCGAACAAGCTGCAGCAGGCCAACGAAGATTTAGATTCCATCACATATCACTAGATTCTCTCGACTTCTGTAAAACTTACCGATGACTTGCTTTTGTTGGGCAGCCTTTGGTTGTTCAGGCTGTTTCTCCGGGTCAGCCATGACGTTCCGGGTGGTGGAAAGGTGTTAAAACACGCCGAACCGATGTTCCTCCTTCTTCCTTGCAACTTTGTTAAGTTCCTTCTCAACATGGCGCGTTGCGTTCGGATAAAAAGAACAGTGACGAGTTTCACTGATTGGTTTACTAAAAATGACGCAACAAACAGCTCGCTGATTGGACAATTCGCATTACACCAACGAGAATAGAGCAAAGATGTCACAAACAATTTATTGATTAGTATTGCAGGGAAGCAATTCTATAGATGGCTTAGAGTTCCACATTTTCTGATGAGAGACAAAATGACGAAATTAGATGAAAATGTAAAAGACCACAACATCCATAAAGTAATCACGGACTTTCTAATTCCACAGATACCTTGCTTATTCTTCTGTAGCATCACTCTTCTTCGATTGTCTTTGGAATGATTTGTGGCCTTCGGAATCTTTTGTGCATTTCAGATCCGTTGACCAGTGTGAATTGATATTCTTTCATTATTCATACTCTCTCTGATAAAGTGGTGGTGTATAAACATGGATGTTTTTGCGTGAGCATGTTGCATTTACATAAAGCTATAGTTTCTTGTATTTTTTGTGGAATGCTTGCAATTTATTTTTTGTCTGTGTATGTTACAGTGCCCGTTGTAATAGCTCTTTTTTTATTCTTGTATTTTATAAGTAAAGTGAACTGGTCGGGGATTAATGTGCATGGCCTCACGCGTCTCACTCCGTTTCGGAAGTTTTTAATATCTATTCGTATGTGGACAAACTCTGCATTAATCTCGATCATGAAAAGTAGTAAGCAATTAAGATCCGACACGCAAAGAAGTAGGGCAAGTGGGGTGTCAGCTTATGCTGGAATAAGTAACTTTACTTTGATGGAGACACCTCGAGGTAATACCAGTCACTCTGGTTTAAACAGAGATAATTTTGAATATAACCGAAGAAACTCTTTCAGTGCTTACTCGTCAAGCGATTTGATGCATAGTAATGCAAGATCTAATAGCAGGAGCCAGCAGCTATTGCATCAGACACCAAGCAGATATTCCGGAGATGTAAGCTTTTCCCCCAAAGGTTCACCATGGGGGAAAAGTGTGAGCCCAAAATTAAGAACCCATGGTGCAGGCATAAAGACAGTACAAACTGTTGCAGGCCCTCTTCTTGCATCAACAAGGTTTAACATCAATAAAAACTTAAGGTTGGTGATTATGTCATGTGGTTTTGCTTTCTTTCTTGTTTTTTCCCCTTCTGGCATCATTTCCATTCTATAGACTCAGTAGTCTTGTTTTGTAATGCACATATCTCATAGAAGTTTCATTTATTGAAGTGATATGTTGTAGGATGTTTGGAAATGTAAGCAGTCCGGGCTTGAGCAGTCGTGTGGCCCATTATGCAAGTGAGGATGCCAAAATACTGACACATCAGAAGCAATACTCTGGCCCAGGGCAGTTTCCTCTTGTGAATCTGGATCATTCTGCATCCAAGTTACCTGTTCATTTCCCCCGTAGAGACCAGAGAATTGTTCACAGCCCAGTTACTGTCAGTATTGCACGTCCTCAGTCATCAGATATGAGGTATTTGTTTTACATGTAAAGTTAATATAAACTACACTATCTTGTTTTCAAATTCAGCTTTGTTGGCAAAGTATAGAAGTATGTGCAGATATTAATTGAACATAACATCCAAGTGATTAGCACTCCTGATTCATATTTGGGAGGTCCTGTGTTCAGTCTCAGTCCACAGATCAGCTGTCCTGGCCAAGTGCCAAGATTGTACCTTGAATCCTGAAGGTTCAGATACATTCCTCCAAGACCACAACCGGCAAAATTCTCACATCCTGATCTGGAGCATTCTGGAAGATAGAGCTTATGATAAAAGTTTTTGCACTGAATAGTAATAAACTTTCTTGACGTAAATACATCTATATGGAAGGGTCAGTGTCATTCCGCAAAAAATGTAAGAAAAATGTGTAAGATGGTTATCAAGGAAATATCAACAATTTGTAAATATGGACTGACAACAATGTTCAGCTTGCATGCTTTGTTATGTTACCTAGGAAACGTGATCTGTTTACTTGACGTTGTGTTACATTACTGCCGTCAACAATCCGCTTTCATTATTGCGGAAAGAGCTGAGCTGTGAATCGCTTGTAGAAGAAGTGTGTCGTAGAGTAGATAATTTTGTGCTGGTAAAAACGTTTTACAATATCACAGGTACTTATCTTATATAAGAATTATTAAGAAATATATTGTAAAGCATGTATAAAGAAAATATTTAGAATAAAGCCACTATATAAACTCCTTACTGTATAGATGTATTTACGTCAAATTCTCCGGAACCATGGTTCCACTGTAACGTTATTTTGTAATTACATCATGGGACTCATTTCTGTTTGTTCCTAGATTCATAAAATTGTAAGTATTAACAAATTACATATCATATGTTATATTGTGACTTTGTTTATTGATTTTAGTTTTACCTGTATTTACCTTGAGAAAAATTTCTTTGCAGTCCTGTAGGAGAAGTTCTGCATTTACAAATTAACACCATCAGCATAAAGTACTTCATTTTATTTGTAGAGGGTGTGCTACAAAAAGATAAAACAGTAGCCAGTAAGAACAGTTTAGAAATTTTATGTTTCCCTTATTGCATGTAACATAAAGATAGTAATGTTTATACTTGCCACTATAAGAACCTGAAATCTCACATTGACTGTAGTACAATTTCTATTCACTGTTGTTTTCTGTGGAGTTGTTCTTTAGACATTGTCAGAGAACAGTTCATAATTCTTTCAGTTTTCTGCAGTATTTGTCTTTACTATCCGAGATATAAAATTTCACGCTGCTGAAAGTTTCGTACACATTTCTGAGTTTAAGACAGTTACAAGATTATTGAAGAGTGTTGTAATTTTTATCGTTGGCATTTAGTTTGTATGTTGCTAATTATGTGATTTTTTATTTACATATATAATGAGTTCTCTGTGTCTGTTTTTGCATCCTGACTCCTCTTCCTCTTTTGTTTATGTTGCCATCAGGTATATGAGCAAGTCACAGAACCTGAGTGGCAGTTCTTTAGAAGAGCAGGATTCTTCAAAGTCTGTCTTGGAAGTGCTAAAGGAGATCTCTCGTAAGCGCATCCATGCTCAGGTAACTACACACATTTAATACTTAATACTTTGGCATCAATCCAGTCATTAACTGTAAACTTCAAGAGTGCTCTTTTTTGGGATGTAGCACAATATAATCTGGTAGGTATTAACATTTCAGGGGAGCTTACTGCACTTACTCAGAACAATGAGGTAAGTGTTTGTGACTACATGGTGCAACATTCCATAAGCCAGCCAACTTTATATTTGCCGCCATGAGAACCTCAAATGTCATCAGCTACTAACTTAATTGTGCAGACATTGGTACTAGTGTAACTCTGTTTAATACTGAAATGTTCAAGCCTTGAATAAATATGTAACATGCAGTATTTGTGTGAGGATCAGATTTTGTCCTAGGCGGAAAAGAGTCCGTCTTGTAATCTCATCTAGTCCAGAAATATCTAAAATTTTATGAAACCTAAGAGTTCATTACTGAGCCTGCATCCAGTCCCTATTCTCAGGCAGATGAATCCAATCTACACTCCTAAGGTTTTTACCTAAGATCCAGGTTATCACACTCGTAGTGAACAGTCTGTAATTGCTACAGAATCTGTTTTAAAACAAAGTTGCAGTAATCAGGCCAACATGTATTGATCTTACAACAATAGTATGATACATGAACGAGATGTTAGTGATTTACTTGAGACATTTCTACTTCCCTTACAGTTGGATGAGAATGAAGATGATACTGTTAAGAGACAGCGCAAGGGAGATGGACAGATTATCGCAGACCATGGTTCAATCAAGCAGCAACTTCAAGATGATATGGCTCTGTACGTATCACATGAAAATACTAGTTATAATCTGAACTGCAATAAACTCCTATCATGACACTGAATTACGAAAGAAGTTACTGCATCATTTTTCTAAGTTTCTAGAGGGTCGTACCGTATATTTTATATTTGAGGGGAGGGGCTCACACCTCCCCTTGTCAGGCTATGGCAATCATGTTTGAAATCAGTGTCTTTAAAAGAAGCGCCAGGGCAACACCTTGGCACTCAGAAAAGCAATAGGGCAACACACACTCGTACAGTCCTGCCTCAGGTAAGACTAATACTGCTGCAGCATCATATGAAGTCACTTTGAGCAGTCGTATATTTTGCTTTGCTTTGACTGTAATATTTTTCCATATGTCAGTAAACTGAGATTTTTGTTAATGATTGTGTTGGCAGAGGCAAGCGAGCAAGGGAGGAGTCTCCTAACCAAAATGAGACAAGCCCTCATCCCCTTCAGCAACAGAACAAACGAACTCGCAACAATGAGATCTCGAGTTCACTCAGTTCAAGCAGAAACCTGTTGAACCAGCTGAAGACCAGTACCAAGAGGAAATCCTCGACATCTGGTAAAAACTAAAACCTGTTTTACTTTATAGCATTCTTATCACTTTGTAAATACACAAACTTGAATTTAAGAGAAGTTTCTCTTATTGCTGTAACATAACAAAATCTTTTAATGTTTTAAGTTACACTGAGGTATATTTCTTTCAATCAGATTGGTCACGTAGCAGTACCCCTGTTATGAGCAAACCACCGAAACAGTCTCGTGACAGCCTTGAGGATGCAGCAAACATCATACGGGGGACACCAGTACCTGTACTTACATCACCAATTCAAACTCCTGCCACCACCCCAACACTTTCCATTGATAAGGCAGATGAGACATCTACTGAAAAGTCTGTGGATATCAAGCCAAGCAAGTTTCTGCCCAAATTTGCTGCCGTTCTGGACAAGAATGGAGGCCCAGTGTTGAACAGTGTGGCAGCACTGGAGACAAAGCGTGCCTATGACAGCCGCACACGTCTTAGGTCCATGCTTGCAGTTATAGCTGGGGAAGGTATCTAAAATTCTATTGTTTTATCATAATATTTATGTGTTTCCTTTTCATTTCTTTACTTTCCATATTTCTTTCTGCCTCTTTGTTTCTATCACACTTTGCTTCCTTATTTTTTATGTTAAAACATTTGAAAACTGTCTGTTGTGTGTTATGGCTATTGATGTTGAATTAAAAAATAAAAAAAAATGGTCTAAAGTGCTGATACTGTTGAATTTTTTTAATACAATCTGGTACTTGCAGCTAGGTCTGTAGAAGGTGTAGATGTGCAATACACAATTCTTGAAGCCTGTCACTATAAAAGAATGACATTTAAAGATATGTTTTGTGAACATTAGTCAATAGTTGTCTATAATCCTAATTTTGAGAAGTATATTTGGAATATTTAGAAAAGCTGATCTTACCGTGGCATTTGATACTGTGTTGACACTGATGTGCATTCTTGGTTTTCCTACAGATGATTTCATCAGAAAACCATCATCAACTGCCAATGATGTTACCGCTTCAAGTGCCACTGCGACGACGACTTTCTCGAGTATCTTGCCACCTGTATCTGCAGCAGGTGATGTGAGAGAGACGACAACTGCTCCGTCAAATACACAAACAGAACCTGTTCTTACAGATACTAACACCCAGGCTTCAGCTGCCAAGAACCCTTATTTACCAAACAGTGTCTCACTGATGATTCCAAATAACATTTCCCCTGTAGTAACAAACATCAGTGTCGCAAATACAGGTTTTGGATTGGAATCAGTGACATCTACTCCAGTGACTTCTCTGTTAAACCAAACAGCGCCAAATCTAACATTAACATCATCCCCAGCCAGTACTTTTGTTTTTGCCGAAGAGAAGAAACCAACTTCAACGCTGACTACTTCAACATATATGGTTGCTCCCACAGAACAAAAAATAGATCCTTTTAAAAATGTTGCTACAACTTCTTCTTCTGGTACTTCTTTTATCTTTGGCAAACCTCAATCTTCGCAAGTTTTAACAGAGTCCTCAAATTCATTGCCTAAAATGTCAGCAGAAGATGCTCCACAGCTGGTCACTTCGTCTACACCAGACCTTGGCATGAGTAATGGATCCAGCACTGCTCCATCTTCCAATGAACAGGCAGGCCATGGGTCTGCATCAGATAGCAGTAATGCCAGTGGTGGCTTCAGTTCATCATCAGTAAACACTGTTATCAGTGTGGCAAAACCACTGGTGACAGAAACCACAAAGAGCTTGTTCAGTTTCGGAAATATGGCAGCGTCTCCTTCAGTGAATACCACAACTTGCGCATCAGCCACCACGACTTCAAATTCATTGTTAAAATCTGCAGTGAACTGTACCCAAGCAGATGTGGGTCAGTATGGTTCGTTAGCAACATCAGCTGCTACAAGTGGTTCCATTTCTACAGATGTCACTCTCTTTGGTTCTGCTAAAAGCGATGACAAACCATCTACAGCACTCCCCGTTGGAACACAAAATTTTGGAATAAAGCCAGAGACATCTAGAGGTATTCTGTTTCAGTTGAATGCTACCAACAACAGCACTGCTATAAATTCATTTGGGGGCTTCAAGTTTGACTTCACAAAAGGATTGAAAGAGAACGAAGTTGCGTCAACAACACAGTCCCAGCCGACAGTAAATCTGATGACTTCCAGTACAGCTCCCATCACTACAACTTCTGCCATAACTTCCATATCCACTCCCACTACAACTTCTTTTAACATCTCAACACCTGCTTCCACAAGCCAATCACAAGAATCACCACTCAAATTTGGAACTACATTCTCAACACCATTGTTCAACTTTGGTGGGACAAGTACTGCCAGTGGACCTACACAAAGTGTTGGAGGTTTTCCTGGGTGTATTTTTGGAAATTCACAGCCAAAAACTGATGGAGTGACACAAAAGCCACAGCAGAGCCCCTTTACATTTGGTACAGTTCCATCTTCTCAGAATCAGAGCTTGACTAGCACCTTCACATTTGGTGGTTCATCTGCATTGAGTGGTGTTAAATCTGGGGGTTTTGCCTTTGGAGGAGGCGGCGGTAGCCAATCTGCTGGTGGAATATTTGGAAGTGGGAATGCTCCGGGCCAGTCAGCACAGTCTGGTATTGGAAATGTGCCTGATCAGGCATCACTACCAGGATTTGGCGGTGGGAACAAGACAGACCAATCACAGTCAGGTGTTGGAATATTTGGCACAGCACAATCCTCTGATAAAGTCTTTGCGGGTACACAGGTTTTACAACCATCAGGATTATTTGGCAGTTCAGTAACCCAATCAAGTGGAATATTTGGAAGTACTGGAAATGTGTCCACTCCCTCTGTGCAGTCATCTGGTGCAATATTTGGCAGCAGCGGGAGTCTGTCAGTTCAGTCGCCACAGCAGACATCTCAGCCTTCTAGTGGAATATTTGGGACTCCATCGCAGCCTAGTGGTGGGATATTTGGAAGTGGCAGCAGTGTGGTTGCCCAGCCAGCTGGTGGAGCATTTGGAGGTGGTAGCAGTACCCAGCCGGTATTTGGGTTTGGTTCAACATCGGCTACAACTCCAGCACAGCAGACGGCATCTGGTGGCAGCACCGGACTGTTTGGTGCTACTGCGTCTTTTCAGTTTGGAGCAGGAAGTAGTAGCGCTGCTACCTCAGCTCCTCAATCAACTGGTATGTTTTGTTTTAGTTTAATAATGGAAATGTAGTGCAGCATTGAAATATGCCCATAACTTCATATAGATGTATCTTACTTTTTATTACTGTTTTCTTGTTCGTATTTTTTGTTTGATCACTTCATATTGTTTTTGGTCTTCCGATAGGTCTTAAAAAGTCCCCATTTGCTCCATAATCATATTTGAGCTGCATATGTTGGTATTGGTTTTATAAAACATGATTCTCTGTTCAGTGAAATGGTGTGGAATCATATTACAATATAGGATTTGAGGTTTTCATGGCATTGAGCCTGAAGATGGCTGTCTTCTGGGTTGTATTGCTGTGTAACCTTGCTGCCTGAAATGTTGGTAAACTTCTACCAGAGTACGACTCAAAAGACAGACGTCACCACATTACAATGTAAATTGCAGTTTATTTTTCATTAGAACAAGATCATTCTGTTGCTTCATCTGCAGCTGCCTGACCAATGTTTCGCTTGCTCCTCACACCAATTTGCCTTTGATATTCTTCTCAGCTGCTAGTTTGAGGAAGGAGCAGAGGAAGTGAACAATTGTAATGTTCAAGTCATTTGTGCCTTTAACAGTTCAGTTCAGTTACATATTTCTGAATTTGCCCCTGGGGGGGTGGTCTTCTGTATCCAGGGTCTGCTGAGTATATTGAATCTTGGGGAAGTGAATCAGTCTTGTGACAGTGTAATACAAAACATATTATTCTTTACGACGACTGTATTATAATTTGTGTTGCAGGAGGTTTTAGTTTTGGAAGTTCTGGTGTCAATCCATCAGCAGCAGTCATTAACTTCAGTACTGAAACATCTGGAAACACTGCATTCCAATTTGGTAAGAATTTTGTCAGTATGAAGTAGTATCATTATCTGGCTGCCAAAGAAAAGTGCCTCCCTGTCAAGAATGTTACTCTTCTGATATTTTATTCACATCTGCAGGTTCAGGGGCAGCTCCGGTATTTGGAAATCAGACCATGGCGCCAGGCAGGTTTAGCATCGGCTCTGGGTCTACTGCCCCACGTGCTCGTACCGCCAGATTGCGAAGACAGAGGTGAACTTGACTCGCATATTAAGTGGGCAGACTTTTACGAATGGGACGAGTGAAACGGTGTGAGGGAGCTGGCTCATCTTTTGTGTAAACAGTCTTGTGAATTTGTTGGTCTTGGACACATTTTGCAGTATGCCGCACATACGATGATGTTCTTGGAGAAAAAAATATTTGGATTTGACATACAGTGGAAATTTGTGATTACATAACTTGAATTAATACACTGTGAATAATATTATCAAGTCTACAGGTGAACTTATTGTGCGCACATAAATGATGTGTGAATGAAACTCTTTCAAAAGAAAGAGAGTGAGTAACATATGCATTTCTAGATTAAAAATCTATTTATGTTATGACTTAGTAGAAAATATAAATAAGAGGACACATTTTGGGCTGAGTTCGAGCGCATAATTTAGCATTGATAATGATTGGTATAAATAAAAAGGTGATTTTTGTCTGTTACCAGTCTCACAAGATAACTGCATGTTTAAAAGTGACTCATTTTGTAGCATTAGTGGTGAAAGTTCTGTGGTTGAAATGTCCGTATTTACACGTACATTGCCCACGCTTACGTAAGTCATATTAATTTTTTAAGGATAGACTGGAAGTGGTTACATTGCTTAAAATTTCAACTGAAATTTTAAAATTTTCTTTTTACAGTGCAGTGGCTTTTACATGCTTTTTGTTCCATATGCTTATTTTGCTAAGAAATCAAAATTGATGTGTACAAGCAAAAAGCAGTAAAACTGTAGTATTCCGTTCACATAATTTCTTCTACTTTAAATACTCCAGCATTTAACTTTGTGGTTTTACGTTTCACTAATTCACATTTTGAATGTTTCATACGTGTATTTTGATTATGTATATAGTCTGTCACTCCGTGGGATGTGAAATTGTTCAAGTGACTGTTAAAATATAATGGTTTGTTTCTTTACTCAAAACTCCTACAAATTTTATGGCAGCAACTAATTTCCATATTATGTGTACAGTTGGGACTGATTCATCTTCAATGCCACAAACCTGCAAAACAATGCATGCCCCATTCTATGAGCGAAAGACTACTGACCTTTGATATAGCAAGCTCTAAAGAACTTGAGGTAAACGCTGAATTTTATGTTTTGACACAATAGAATTGTAGGTTATAGGTACTATTTATTGTGTTAATCAGACATGAAACTTACATGTGCAACGTTCATATAGTCTTCTCTTCATTTAGCTTTGCATTGCAAGTTGGAAAATCAACACTAGCAACTGAAATACATGTTTTCTCATTTCTGGCTAAGATTTTCTCTGGCTTACTATGAAAGCAGTTTTTTAAACATTATCATCTAACATTTTCACCCTGATCCTGAAGACAGTCCTTGAATTAGATTAGGTGCAAATTGCTATGAATGGAATTTGTAAAATCTGTTACTGGGAGTGGTTGGTCTGTTTTACTTCAAAGGTTGACTGATAATGGCTTCCAGTTTAAATTTAAAGTATCTTTAAATAAATGACATTTTTTGATTCAGAAAGCAAAACCTTGGGAGAAGAGTTGCATACAGTATTTGAATAAACACAGTATGTACTTTGCCAGCACTGATGTGAACATTTTTAATTTTTGTGTGAAACCCATGTAAAAAGAAATAGGAGGGAATGCTTATAACAGAAAAATCTACATACAAATAAAGATGAAAAATATAAAAAGTACATAATTTTGTAATTGAATCCCTTTTCTTTGAGAAGATTTAATTAACACGTGCACTTCTGTTAAACCAAAAAGTTAATGTGTTTGAAAGTCTAAAAACATTTAACAGTTTCCTTGCATATGTTTCTTCGTTTTGCATAAATTGTTTCCAAATTAGAAAGGGGTATTTTTCACTGTTTCCACAATGTACAGTAACCTTGACTTGTTACATATCTCTAAAATCTAATGATACAAATTATATTTAAACCTTGTTCATCACCTATGATGGTGTGAGGATTGAATAAAAAAGCGGCTTACAGGAATTCTAGTGATACAGCATCACATTTTTGACAGTTACATCTAACTTGGAATATTTGCCCAGATCTTGAAGAGGAAACATAAAGATAAGTGGAATCTAGAAATCTACTTCATGGAGAGCTATATTATATCGACTGACAACACAGCTGTGGAAAATGAAACAATGATTAACTGAATAAATAGCATCATGTAATATTTCCACAAACAAATGTTATCAGGAGCAAACATGGTAATACTCATTAAAGGAGAAGCTACTTCCAAACATAAAGGGGAAGATCAGGGAATTGAAGAAGGGTGAGAATACTGCAAAGCAGCACAAAAATAGTATTCTATTCTATAATTTTTACTGAGTTAATATTAATGTACATTACCAAACAAATACACAGGTTGAAGAAGCTCGTCAAACGGAAGAGTAAAATAAACACAGTATGAAACATGCACAGAATTTCAAATAACGAATATTCAAATTCTTTCCCACATATACCACCGACCATAAATAATATCGTACATCACAGATGAAAGCTTACAAAATCTACAAGTAATTTTCTTCTTTTCTTTAAAAGAAAGACAGAGATTGCTGTCTTCTGGATTGTTGCGCATTGTAATATGATAGATATAAAGTCGTAAACATTCGCATTCATAAATTGCATAATTCCCTACCATCATATTTAGGTCCGGATAATACCAAACTTCATCATTTATTTTGGGAAATCTGTGGTTACCAATGGTGCCTTCGCTGTGGTTTATGAACGGTCGTCACCAAAGATAACAAACGGTCTACAAAACGAACATATCGATTTTTGGTCAAAGGGCTTTACGATATGTCGAATGAATTTCAATATTCTGTGAACTATTAAACTTATTCTTCTTCTAGTTTCACAATTATCAGTGGTACTAAAACAAGAATAAATTAATTGTTCACAGAATATTGAAATTCATTCGATATATCGTAAAGCCTTTCGACCAAAAATCGATATGTTCGGTTTATGTGTCCGTGTATGTAGTTCATATCAAAAATGGCGTACAACTACTTTTTATTGGTTAGAAATGGTCAAATACTTTTCAGGACATTTTCTGTATTTAGAATGTATTCAAATAGTTCTAAATGCGGTGTCACATGTAAAGGACTGCACAGACTTAGTTTACAACCACAGTTTCATCAGATATTTCGTAATTATGCTTTTAAGTCGGACCTTAAAATAAAGTGGGTTCGTCCACCTAAAATTCCATGTATTAAACCAGAAAAGAGTGGAGATTTGGCTCTGCTTCCAGCTGTGGATAAGAATCAGTATCCATTAGAATTCCAGAAATCAGAGGAATTAAAAACGTAAGAAAAAGATTTGAATCAACAGTGAAAAACAGAAGTTGTACTGTCCTAAAATTGCATAAAACATTCACCATTTAATTTTACCTAATATGCATATGCAGGGAACAGTATCTGTTCAGTTAACGTCCTTATTTTGAAGTAGTAATTGAACAATTGCTGAGGCAGCACAAGAAATTTAAATAAGTCAAAAAGACAAGACAGTGCATACATAAAGAAATTCTTTCCAGCAAACAATGCATACTGAAGCTTAAATCACCCAAGTGGTAGATTTAAACAAAATATTTATGTTGAAAATTTTATCAAATGTGTTAACATTTGGTCTCTTACATGGAATTCCATGGTAACAGTTCTGACTTTGTTATAAATGTTTAGTTGCCGAGTTGAGTGATTAGAACATTGCTCTTTCATATTATTACAAAGCTTTTTTACTCAAGACAGTATTTGGCCTGTTTCAGAGCTGATAAACTCGTTAGGAGAGTTTTTTCTCTTGAATTCTTTCCAAGACAACATTCAATGAAAATTCTAAGGATTGAAATGATTAACAGTGTCAAAAGACATGCATTAGACGGGGGATCAAGTGAAAGCAAAAGTAAGTTATATATCATTGTTTTGGTATATCATTCCATTGCTCTTGAAACCATTATTTTTTCCTACTTTAACTCTATTAAACGTTAACAAAGTTAATAGTTCAGAATTAAGCACTGGGTTCCATTATTATAATAGTTGGTATTTGCAATGTTAATAATTAATTTAGAATGATACCATGTGAATGCATGAAAATACAGAAAATAATTTGGTGTTCCCAGTTGCGCAAATGACTGCTGACATACGAAACTTCCAGCAGTTAATGGAAGAATTTCCAAGGGACAAGCGCTGCAAAGTTCAACTCAAGGAGCTTATTGACCGTCGTAAGAAATGGCTAAAGTTCCTCAGAAAATGGGATTACAAACGTTTCGAGTGGTTGTTAGAGAAACTTGACTTAGTCTATAAGCCAGCCCCAAGGTGAGATATTTCCTGAAACCAATTAATTGGCACTGCAGAACTCAGTATTGATTAGAAGATACCTCATCCCATGTGAGAGAGTTCAGTACAGGTTATGTAACGTATTTCTATAATTTTATTTTATTTTAATATTTTTTCCCTCCAGTGTGCCTAGTTTTTCAAAGTGTTCTCTCTCCCTAGTTTCCCCAGCATTCTAGAAACCTTGCATCAGTTAGAATTTGTTACAGTTAGTGTATTAGTGTGTGTTTAATTTATTTTCCTTCTTTATTCTCTTCAAGTGCACAGTTGCTTATAAGAGTTTTTTATAAAGTATAGTGCCTCAAAGTCTTCCTAAAGTTAATTTTATTGTAATTTTATGTTTTTAAACTGTATTGTGCTTATTTTACCTAGTCATTCATGTCCTAGAACTAAGATCGAGGAAATATGTAACTCTGTTGGCCTCAAAGCAAGAAGCACTGATATAGAATATGCTGCTTTGCAGTTACAAGGTCATCTCAATGAAATATGATTTTTTTTCAGTGAATTTCATTGGATAACACGAAAGGATTCATTGCGGAAACTTACAGACAAGCATTGTGCTGAAGTAAGGCAGCAAAGACTAGATGCCTACAGGGCGAGTTTAGAAGGACAGCAGGTTGACTTCCTACGAGAAAAAGCAAAAAAATTGCAGTGGATTCGTAATGAGGAGCAAGAGTGTGGTGTGGAGCCAACGGTCAGTGAGGCAGATATTGAAAATGTTTTGAAACAGTTAAAAGAACTTCAACTTTCTAGAGAACAAACATTGAAGGATGAAGTAAAGTTGTCTGTACTATGATTATCAGACTGTTGCCATTTTGTGAAAAGTAAAAGTGAATAAATAGTACAGGTATGACTGTACTTATCATTGTACTAGTGTAATGCCTGTTCAAGTTTTAAATGGGAAATGTATTATTACATATTTACAAAAATTATTTCACATCTCATACATATATCCCACAATTGGTTTTTTCATGCGCTGTGTTGACTTTTGCATTTAGTAATTGAGTATTAAGCCATAAATGTAAATCTTCTGCCATAAAAAAGGTGGAAATTTTTGGGTGCTGAACTGATGCTAATTAAAAGTGGTATAAGTTGCCTACTTTATTTCACAAATTTTGTATTAATTTTGTTACAAGATAATAGCAGATGAGGCTTTTATGCTATGGTGAAAGAAACTCACCTATTTTATGGATAACCCTGAAGAAAAATCCTGTTCCTTCAGGTTGGGGGCTGTGTGAGAGGATGGTAACCCATCCAGGTTAGCAAATTAATCCTTCTCATTTGTACCATCCATGCCTTGATGTGGTATTAGGTTCAGATAATACTGTACAGGATTTACAAAACTGATTGAAGAATTGCTTTTGCCACAAGAGACATGGTCGGAAGTAACTAAACTCTTAGACATGCCTGAAGTCCTTGTGGTTTGTATCAATTTCCTTTGAAATGTATGGTACATGTGGCATGCTTCATGTGATTTGCCACTTTCTTTCAGATACAGCATTTCATTCATAGTAGACTTGTCATTCAGAAGCTGAGAAGGGAAGGTGGTTATCATCCTTGTGTAATCAAAGTGCTGGAAGGGGCATCCACCTTCGGCCAATGGACTTAAAGCAGATCTCTGAAACAAACATCAGAATTAGTATATGATAATGCTGTAATATGTATGCAACCAAAAGCACAGATCTGTTTCAAGCATCATAAACTACCAAAAAAAAAAACTATACTATGTTCCTTCAGGTCGTATTTCAGTAGCATCTTGCAGAGTTAATATACGTCACATCTTCAAACCCACATATCACCTCTTCTGATGATGAAATGTAACCACTGCATACACAGCATTCCTTAGGTTATCCTCTGATATCTCGTCAACCTCAAAAATTAACACAGGGCAAAGTACATTAATTGAAACTGTATACAGCAGGGCATGTAACGTGGTTGGAAGAGATTAAAGATGCATACCAAATTTTGGTTGGAAAGCCTGAAGGGAATAGACCACTTGGATGACCTAGGGGTAGATGGGAGGAAAATATTACAATGAATCTTTAGGAAATAGGATTGGATATTGGAATCATCTGGCTTGGGGACCAGTGGCAGGTTGCTGTGAACGTGGTAGTGGACCTTTTGTTTTCATAAAGGGGAGGGAATTTCTTGACTGCGTGAGCTTGTCAAGGAGGACTCCGCTCTATGAAGAGTTACACTCCTTACCTGAATAACTCTGCAGCTTGACACCACATATGTGTATCTGCCTCCTTCTAGCCCATACATATGCCTAATGCTGTAGCCATAACGGCGAGCATCCTTCTGCCAGGAATGTGTGCACCCTGAGCCACATTTTGAAATAGGCTGAGAGTATTCGGTGCGCCAAAAGTTAAGAGCTTCTTCAACAGGCATACCAACACCTTTGAGAAAGAGAGTAAGCTGTCTGCGAGCCTCATGAGTGAGGCGATGTCTTGATCGGAGTTTACGATAAAGATGCGCCATGCAGGGTGGAAAGTAAATATGTTGTGAATCCACATCTTTAGCTGTCATCATTCTGCCTCCACTCATTTCGACAGTGTTACTGCTGAATCTGAGAAGAATAATAAAATGGGAAATGGCTGGTGAGATTTTACATTTTCACAGCAATAAGTATGAAGATAGTTGTCTTCTGTGTAGTCTGGTAGGAACTCACTGAACTATGTAGACGATAATCACACTCTCCCTTTTACATGTTCATTTGACCTACTTCACGTAAAGAATGCATACAAATGAGTGACAGATGTTAAACACATTTTCAGCATTTGTTAGTGTGTAGTGCTTTAGCTCCAATCACCTATACCTCTTCATGTGTGGTCTATATGTGGTACTATCTGATTGTAATGAATTTTTAAATAAGTGTATCTCTACAAACCACTATGGTGATAAAACACTAACCTTCTTCCTAAATCTTGTGCAAGTTGATGTATTCGAGAATCATTCAATGCCTGATGTAGACACCCTGTAGTTTGTAGATGTTTCATACCAAATTCCAGATGCAAATGAAATTGGATGGCAAGTAGTTGCTTCCATTTCCCACAAGGAACAATACATTTCCCGGATTTCAATTCTACTTCACGCTTTTTAATTAAAGGCAGGCACGTCGTAAATGGTACTGGAAGAGAAAAGGACCAACTCTTCAAAATTGCTGACATGGAAACTAAAGTACTAATTTAAATGAATGTGAAATTTGTGCTAGCAAATTGATTTAACACTTTTATAGTTACTACTAATCCTGCTATATTTTGCAAGTTGTCACAGAAAGCGACTCATATAATCCTCCATTTCAATATCAAAGATATTGTATCTTGACAAATATGATATATAGGAAAATATGAATAGAAATAAAAATAAGTAAATCATATTTTTTAAGGTAAGTATATATTAACATTGCATCTCACCAAGTATGTTGTAATATGAACAGGTTTCTGGGTGAGTTTCCTTGAATGCATGGATAGCTGTTTCCTTTTTTATCATAACTGTACACATGTGTTTCACTGCTGAAAGAAATTCACTAAATTCCACTGATATGTTCGGTGATAGCTGTATAATCTCCTTCACATGCCTGTATAATATCTTCAGCATTCTTGTAACTTGATTATGATCCAGTGTACTCAGACGATGAACAAATAAGTTGGTTTCTGCTTTCAGCACAAATGTCTTGAAATCAGGAAATGAAACAGAGAGCAACCTGAAAACAAGTTTTGAAGTACATAAAGTAAAGCAAGTGTCAAGCTCTTCTCAGAACTTATTATAACATTAATTTTAGAAAATGATATTCACAATCAGATCAAAGTCCTGGGTCCATGATACACATGATGAAATAAAACAAAATTGTTCCTAGTATTTAAAAAATAATTAGCCTACATCTCAACTCATCTGCATTACATAAAAATAAATCATAATCCACTGAATTACAAGCTGCGAGTATTAATGTGTAGTGGGGAGACAGGACTCCAGTATTTTGTAAGTTTTTATTCCAGGGTGGAACTGTGAAAGCCTAAATTCAAAACTGCATTGCAACACTATAATCTGACTTTCAATTATTTTTAAAAATATTCTGGACTTCATCCATTATCATGTGAATTTTTTATAGATTCAGAACTTTTCTTAGTCATTGTCAGTTGAAATTTTTGAACATAATTAAAATTTGAAATTGCAACATATAAAAACTGAAAATAAAGAAATGAGTGATATAATATAATTGCCAAGGACATCATAACTGCATTTTATTGTGTGATTGTGGGCAAAAGGTCTAACTTAATGCTAGTGTGTTTTAAATATCAGACAGACACATACCTTAGTATGAAATGTCCAGCTCTGTCCATTGATGTTCCATCATTTAGGTATTCAAAGTTTGTGGGTATGCTTATTTCACCACTTTCAAGTGATAACAGATACTCAAATCTTTGTCTTACACATTTATTTAATATATGTAAAGCAATGTTGCCTCTTGGTGGTTTCATGTAGTAGGTCATAACAGAGTAGTGGTATACTAGCTAGCAAATATATCTGTTCAATCAACAGCACAAGAAAAGTATTATCACTAAACAAATGCTTCAACAGCAGTCACACAGAAAAACTGGCTACCAAATTAAGGAACCATTCATGCTCTATCTGTTTAAATAATCCTAAGCTTCTCTGGTGACTAATTGCATTTGATCTTAAGATTAAATAAGGTAACAGAACTGGTAAAGTGGGCTATTCTTTGACAAGCCGAGTAACAATCAACTTTTTGAAAAACATCCAGCACCATAGAAAGAAAGAGAGGAGTAAAACTCATGCATGTATTTATACTACAAAACCACAAAAGCTTCATACCTAACTCGCAGCATAATTCATGGTAGAGACATAGCCACATGTGAAAAGGCATGCAGTAGCCCACCAATCCTTCAATTGCATGAAAAGTAATACTATTACAAGGCAAAAACATTAAATATATCACTGAATGTGCTGCTTTCATATCCCCTGTTGATATAACAATTCTTCGTCACAAAATCATATGACCATAACATAAGAAATTGTGGAACTTAAAGGATGGTAAATTGTTTATTTGGTTTTAAAATAACAAATAACATGATTGCAATGAGAAGGTTTTGGACACCTTTACAGTGATCAGTCACTTTTATCTCATTGCTAATGAAGGGTTCTGATGTAGTTGCATTCATTTGTCAGCACCAAAGCAAACAGTTTTAACTGCATAGCTGACTATGGGAATAAAACCAAAGTTAAACAATGATTCTTAAGCTTATTACTGGACACAATACTTATGCTATGGATAGTAACTGTTACATAACCTGTAAATTACTGGGTTAGAGATTCAGCTCGGAATCAAGAAATCATCAATAGATATGACTGTAAGCAACAGAAGAATGTGGGTACACATTTAAAGATTATTAAAATTCTGGCTGAGGTCTGGGGATCACAATGGACACTGATTATTGTCTCAGATTTACTGTCTGGTACAAAAAATAAATTGATAGAGGAAAACATATGACAAGTTGCACTACATACTGCATTAAGTTTTCTTGGCGTGGCTCTTATACAACCACCCAACTATTCTGTATTTTCTTTAAAACAAGAATAACAATTCAAGACTCATAAAAAAAACAATATAATTGAGATACAAACAAAAATTAAATTTAAACATTACTGGCGATAGATCGAATCTCGACTTGGTACAATTTCCAGAGTAACTCAGCGACCATCGATTATATTCGATCTACTATCGTTGTGACTAGTCGCAGCTGATATGACGTAATATGTTACCCCGCCCTAAACCGTACGCATGAATAAACTCTTACGTACTTACTTCCTTACTTCATGCAGCCGAGTCCTTCCTGAGAAGCTAACAGTCGCTCACCCACTAAAGAAGGTTCATCAGCATGTTCACAACAGCCCGTCACTGGTCCCTTTCCTGAGCCATCTGAATCTATTTCACTAAGATCCATTTTAATATTACCCTCCGGCCTGCCTCTTGGTCTTCCAAGTGGTCTCTTTCCTTCTGATTTGCTATTAATTAACTCTAGAACGGACAAACAAAATACACTGTGGAGAGTCTGTCTTAAAATTTAACAGTACTTTTTCTAATCAAGAAATCCATTTTATAGAATCAGAAATGCTGTTGTTTTGTTCACAACACTCCACAACCGGTCCGAATTCTGAGCTGCATTTTTCCAATCCATATCCTCCAAATCTATTTCCCTAAGATCCGTCATATTATCATCATCTCATCTATATCAGAGTCTTCTGAGTGGTCGCTTTCCCTTTGTCTGTTTGACAGAAATTTTGTATACATTTCTCTCAACCTACTTGATTTCATCATCCTAATACTAATGAGTATAAATTATGGTACTCTCCTGCATGCAGTTTTAACTGTCATCCACGTCACTTCTTTCTGCTTAGGTCCAAATATTTACCTAAGCACTTTGTTCTCAAACACTCTCATTCTATGGCCTTCATCTATGAAATATCTGTGTTCAATCATCAACCCTGAAACAAAGACTTTGTTGATAATACTAATGGTATTGTTTATCAAACTGAAACTTATATTAAATTCTGACTAAACAAACTTTGTAAGATTCACTACTAACAACAAAACATGTACTAATTTAAGTACAGTTTATGACAATAACAAGAACTAAATTCCTTGATTAACAAATTGATTATAACTTAAAATGGATAAATCACATTGTACATATTATCCCCAAACTAAGTTCACCACGAGGACTGTCACACAACTCATGAAAACAGAAACTTTATAATTAATCTTCTTCGCTTACTTCCATTTGATCATGTCATATCAAATTATTTACTGAGGAATTAAAAAAAAGGAAAAAGTATTTTGCATCCAAATGAAAATTATCAGAATAATGGCTGGCATTAAAATAGAGAGCCTCATGTAGGGAATTAATTAAGAAATATAATATTCTTCTTACTAGCCAGCAATTTGTAATGTCATTATTGTTAATGTAGTGTCAAAACAAAAATTTCAAATAAATAAAATATCCAAAATATAAGTACAAGATATAGATATAACTTTCAAATGCCAAAGACTAACCTCAGTAAATATTAAAAAAGTAGTTTATTATACTGGAATTATGCTATTCAATAATCTTAATAGTGGTGGTGATTTTTTGTGTAATAATTTTTGCTATAATACTGTAGTTGACTGTAAGTCACTGTTATAACTATGCAATTTGTATTTTTATTAGAAAGTTAATAGTGAACAATGCGGAAAAGTTTCAAACTAATTATTACATATATGCCATAAATATAAGAAACATGTTCTTTTGTTCTCTGCAAGAGACCCTACTTTTAACACCTTCCATGTTTCTAATGAGTTTTCTTTGGATGATAAATATTCTTTCAGTCAGTTGAATTTTCCAAGAAGGAAACTTCATATAGCACGAAATGGAAATAAGTAAAATAAACTAATTTTAAAGTATCTGCTATCAACAGTGGTATGACTGTCCCTTCACTATATAGAAATAAACTTATTCTATAATCTTCCACCTATCATAAAAATATAAATTTGTGATACAGATATATTTAAGCCAGCCCTGAATGATTATCTATTATCATATTCCTTTTCGTTTTTAGAAAAATTTTGTTCAATTAAAAGCATTCCAATATTGTAAATGGTTGTAATTATTATGTATTTATATTTATACTTTTTAATTATAAGAGTTAATTATAGTATTCTTTATATGACGTCATGCGCAATTCAAGTCGTTTGGATACACTTTATTTACTTCAACCATGTTCATTACCTATGACTCACAGGTAATAAAGATCACTGATTATGAATGTCACGGTGACTACTAGTAAAGGCAGTGGTTAAATATTAAATCAACTTATTAATTATCATGTTGCTACTACTGATAAACAGCGGCATTAGATTTCAAGGTAACTTTATCAAGTCTGTACACATTTTTAATTTCAGTAAAATGGGTGTATTTTGTTTCGTGAAAACTGATTTTCATTCTTCTTTTTTGTTTGGTTAATGTTTTTGTTTTCTGTGGTTCGATTGTTTTTCGGTTTTCGTTGAAATTTTTTCTGTGGTATCAATCATTGATAGACTACGACTGAACATTTTAGTTGGTACGCCCGTCACAATATAAATATGTATTTTGCTTTCGGGTCTTTCAAACAAATGTAAGGTTAGAGCGTTTGACGTTCAGTACGTCACACAGTTCTGATTGTTTTATAAAGTTAGGTCCAGACGTGTTAAAATATATTACTAGGGAAATGAAGATAGATTTTTATGCCGTGTGGAATATTGCCTTTTTGCTATTCCTGTTATGTGTCTTCCTTTACCTGCTTTTGGGGTGTGTATTATTTTTAATTTGATTATAACCTAAATTTGGAAATCACATTGAATGCAAGCCTTCAACATGCTTCTTCAAGACTGCTGCCAAACCTGTCATGAATAAAATAAACTAGATACTTTAAAATTATTTAACTATTAAATTTGACTGACAAAAGAATAATGGAAGGTGTTAAAAAGAGCCTCTTTAGAAAAATATTTAAGATGTTTAATTCTTACTTTCATATGTTGTGGGAAACATGGAGAAGTTTCAAATAAATTTTAACATATACAATGCAAACCCTAGACATAGATAGAATTTGAGGTTCAGATAGCTGTGAGTATGAAGATGACTGTCTTGTGGGTTATAGTACCATATAGTCTGGTAGAAGGATATTAACGTTTCAGAGGTCCTTCATGCCTCCATCATTTGTATGCAGACTTCATTAGTTGCCAGAAAGTTGCTTCCTACACTCATTTTATGTGGCACTAAAAATTTAGGTAATGCCATAAGTGTGTTTAAACCAGCATTGAAAAATTACCTCTTATCTTGGTGCTTCTACTCTATAGAAGAATTTGTTTGTTGTAAATTATTAAATATTGTAAATATTTATGTAAATGACAACAATCTCATTATATTTATATTGGCAATTTATTTTTTACATGACAAATGTTGATTCCTGAATGCCAGAGCTTTCACTGATGAGTACAGATTAGCATTGATTGTTTAAAGGTCTGACACTTGTTGATTCATTACAGAACCACTATGTTGGATCTGAGACAATGGACAGTTTCGAGCTCAGTGTTTCTATAACTGATTGGTATTACTGTATTTAGCAGACAGGAAAAGGAGAGGACAATTGTACAATACATAAGCTGTTTATAAAACTTCAAAATGCCAATGAACGAGTGACAAGAGAAGTTTCAAATAGTATACCCACTTAGGTTAATTGAAGCATGAGTAAAAACTAGAGCAATTTTCTAGCATTTGTAAACATGTGTCTGATGTATTTCCCAGTTAGAATGATCTGAGATGGGAGTTCACTACTGTATATGTAGTATATGCAGTTGATAAAGCTTTGTTAGATAAACTGAGAAGCAAATAAATGAGGGATACTGTATTGCTATTTCTTTTTTATTTTGTTTCAGAGTTTGTTACTAGAAAATTTCAAGAGTATGAAGAAGAGATAGAACTGAATGTAACCCATCTGTTACTATTGCATGCTGATGAGTTTCATTTATCAGATTGAAACATGAATTAAGAAATACTCTAAACCCCCAATACAAACTGGCATGTATGTTAACCGAGAAATAAACAGGCTCACTGTAGTGGAATATTGGCAATGCTTTTGCTGTTGCTTTGTTTTCTTGCAGTGCATGTGATCACATTCATTATTAGATATTAATGACAAACAATAACACTATGTTATATACTGTATGTAATATACAAAATACAATTTTACATATGAACATTCAACATTTTGTTTTATATAAATTGTGGTGAGTATTTGTATGGTGCATTTCTATTTCACAGTAAAGGAGTCATCAAGAAATGAAATATTAAATTTTGTCACGTTTATTGTATCAACCATTTGTATTATGAATATAAAAGCTTTATATGATGGAAATTTGTTAAATGACCACCAATTCCAAAAATATCTGATTAATACATGCCAGCCATCTATGTTAAGGACTGAGCAAATATAAGAGAGAATTAACCTTGGCATAAAAATCGCATGTTTTTTAAGCCGAATAAAACTTGCTGTACTGTTCATAGAGGTTTTCTGTTTCCCACAGTTCTTCCAACTGTGATTCTGAGAGGAACAAAGCATCTTCTGCATGAGAGTCATGATCCAATCCTTGGTAGAACTTGTGAAATGCTTTTACTTCTTTACGTGCCTTCTCCAAAATTTGAACTTGGTTTATGTTTGCCCTATCGACAGCGAGACGAGCATCATCAAATATCTTGTGGACCCGTTCGACATCCTTAAAAAAAAGGCGAAGAAAACTTTTTAAATAAGTTCATAAGTTCTTACCATTGTACCAAATGAGAGATACAGATATCTCTTCACAACTGGCAGACTTAAGTCCAAGAGTTGGAGGGGACAGCTAACAGGAAGGAATTCTACACAGATAAAGGCAATGAGAGTCAAACTATTTAACATTTAGAAGTAACAAGAATTTGTAATTAGCATCTGTAACTAAGAATTCAATGTATGTTGAAAGGCAAGACCTCAGTACTGGGAATCTCTTTCATACATTATCTAATTAGAATACGTCTTGATTATTGAACTTCATAACTGAGTAGTATGATTATAAAGGGTTCAAAGATGTTGTATGAGGAGAACAAGATACATTTAAAAAGCAATTAAAAATTTAATTTGAAGATTACTCTCTTCTGGTATGGCACACTGTGCAGTCTGGTAGATGATTACCGATGTTTTAGAGGCCTGGTATACTTCTACCAGATTACACAGAATAACATCCCAGAAGACAGTCATCTTCATATCTGCCACTGTGAAAACTTAAAATCTTAAAATTAATTTATTTACTCAAAAATTTAATCTACAATATGTAAAACATTACCTACCCCTGCCTGTTTGAAAAACAACTGATGCATTTCTTTGTTAATTCCAGTATAACAGAAATTTTGCAAGTAATTCCTCTCCTCAATTTGTTTCATGCTTAGTTGCAAAAGAGCAAGCTGTTCATGATCACAAATCTGCTGCCTCTCATACTCAGTGTTCTGTCGAAGCTGTTCCAATTTTACATCAAAAACAGCTGTGCAAGACTGAGTTCGGCGACGTTTCACTCTGGGTTGATAGTGGCAGCTTGCTTGTCCATCAGATACAGTTCTCTTATGTTGATCTCGCACACTAGAAGGCACATCACTTCCACCTCCACTTATTCGTTCAACCGCAGCATCATTATTTACTGAAGAAGCAGATGTTGGATACTTCCTAGCATTCTTACAAATCTTCCAATTGTGGTAAGTCAAATCTTGATTTGGATCTGGAATAATAAGGTTTCTCCAGCGCTGTCTCACTGCACGATACCGTTCCTCATCAGTTTGTAACTTACGCAATAGTTCCCACTCTGGATTGTTATTGTCTTCATTTTCTTGAGGATTGTTACTTATATAATCTTCATCACATTTTGAGATTATGTTTGGTTTTTCTTCCAATGAATTTTTAATGTTATCAGTGTTGTCTTGACCATAATGACCTTGAACAGGTGTTGCATTTGTCAAGACTGGTGATAACTGTGTACAAGATGATGATGGTGATGACTGTGAGCCACCATTACCTGTTTCATTGCTCAACTTTTCAACAACTTTCAGACCTATACCTTCCCCAGATGCAGCTTGTGTTTGTTCAATATCATTACAGTCTTCCTTCCATATGTCAGTTACATCGTTATCTTTGCTTACCTTAGAAAAGCTCTTATGTGTTAAGTGAGTGCTTTGCGTTGCAGAAACGTTCGGAACTAATGAATTGATGTAGGTACACACAGACTGTTCCTGGTCACTTGATTCTCCATATTCATCTAAAATTAAAAAACTTTCTTGAACGGATGAGAATGTTGGTTTCCACCGTTTCAGAGACTCAACTTTGATCTTGAATGGCGTACTTGAAACCAGAGGTTCATAATCTTCAGTCTCAGAAAAAGTACAGGTAACATCATCATTACCATCATCAGGATACAAAAATTCATCCTCAATTTGTGAAACATCTAACTGCAAGTTTAATTCCTGACTAGATCCATGAATCGCAGCATCCACGTCCATAAGTGATGAACTTTTTATAACAATGGCACTGTCTTTGTGTGTTCCAACAGGGCATATTTTATTCCCCTCAGCATTTGTGTCACAGTATGTTGTATATGACGATGTTATATCACTTGTTTTAATTGAGTTTAAATGTACTTTAACATCATTTGCAGTAAGCTCACAGTCTTGTGATCTAAGGGACAATTCCTCATACTTTTTTGAAAATAACACAGATTTCATTGGGTTACACACATTTTCATTTGGAATTTTCAGTTCAGGTTGGAAGGTGCCACCTTTTGTGTGTCTACCACCATTCTCTTTGTGTTGCGCTGTACATTCCTCATAAGTAGTTGTTTCAGCTTGAAATGTTTTAGGTTTTGAAAAATCTGATTTTCTCCTTTTCCCATGACTTACAGCGTTAGAAGTGCCATCAGATTCATTTAATTCACACGAAAATGTATATTTGTCTCCTTTATTACATTCTATATTTTGTGACATTCTGCCATCAATATTATCATCACAGTTGCTAAATGTATCACTATCTGAAACATCATTTTCTATGACTTCATTTATTTTAAATATATCAGAATCTGCTAATTCTCCTTCATATATCTCAGAATCTAATAATTCACCTTCTTCTAAATCATATGCACAGCTATCTATGTTTGGCAAATCATCATTTGCTTCTAGGTCATTGATGGTTGTTTCCAATTTACTGATTTCTGCTTCGAGACTATCTTTCGTGTATTCATCATGGTCACTGCCAATCTCAGAATTTCTGGCAGTCACATCCAACTTTACTACAGGAACGTCGTTATAGTTTACATCAGAGAGAAACATCTTGAAAAAGATCTAGAAAAGTAATATGACATGATAACTGACATGTAAATCACAGTCAAACAACTTACAGAACATTCTTCTGGCAACAATTTTTTTGTATACAAATTAAATCACAATAGACATCAATACAGATCCCACTGTAATAGATCAGCCTCTCATGCTCAGCAAATTGAGCTGGTAAAATCAATCGAAACTTATTTCCAACACCAAATTCACAAACAACTCCCGATCTTGTGATAAACTTCATAACCTCTAATGGTTAATCATTGTTTATTAAGTAACTTAAGAATTTTCATGGAACAAAACAGACTGAAGATATTAAAAGATAAAGAGCAATGTTTGGATAAATATATGGAGTAACAGGTAAATATAACAAATTACATGATGAGAAATTTAACGGTTTTTCATCCTACTTCAAAGCATTCATGACGCGTAGGAAAATAAATACCATATTCAGGTTGTGAAACCTCATGGCTATAGGTAGTTTGGATAACCATTCAATGCAAAAAAAATGCTGGAGGTAGAAAACACATTTTGGTTTTGTAACTTCATTGGGGGAGTTCACTAGACAGTAAACATGTTTATTACGCTGATCTCGGAGAATGGGCTATGCTGAAGCGAAATGGATCAGAAAAGGGTCTAATTGCGAAATTTTGTTGTGACGGTTATGAACGTTTTATGTCCATATAAAGAATTCTGAACAAATTTCCGAAGGAATTACAGTATGTAATTAAAATATATTACGTTATATTGACACAGCAAATGTATACTGCGCTTCGTAACACAAACCTTATGGCATTGTACTTCAGTACATCACACACAAAAAAAGTTGACAGTGGAACCACGGTTCCAGAGAATCTGACGTAAATACGTCTCTGTAATGCAATGAAATGTAATAATTCTTATATAAGATAAGAACTTGTGATATTCTAAAACGTTTTTACCAGCACAAAATTATCTAGTCTATGACGCACTTCTTCTACAACCAATTCACAGCTCAGCTCTTTCCACAATAACGAAAGCGGATTGTTGACGGCAGTAATGTAACACAACAATGCCGAGTAAAAAGATGACGTTTCTTAGGTAACAACAATGCACGCAAGCTGACCATTGTTGTTGGTCCATATTTACACATTGTTGATATGGTTCTTACACGTTTTCGTTTCACTTTTTTTTGCCGAATGACCCTTCCGTATAGACGTATTTACGTCAATAAATTTCCCGTTTTGTTTCGTTTTCAAAAAATGTTCTCCCGGGGAGAATGTACATAAAACGAAAATTCAATATCAATACTGAAATAATTATATACAACTGTAATCTCCAACTCTACATCCAAAGTTATTGCCTTTCCCTCCTAAACGATCTCCCTATTGTATTTTCTGTGCTAACCACCTTAAAACATCCAGTAATATGTTACGCTCTTATGTTGGTATTAACTCTCTCTCCTATGATTGGTTACTACAATCGATGTACTGAATATTGAATTGTAGTTTCGATATTCGACAACAAACTGCTAATAAATTGAAGCTTTCGCGGAGACTGAAGTTGATGAAAGACTCTCGGGTGACGTGTCGCGTGAGGTACTGGATGGTGAAACAATCACATCTTGGTTTATTCGCCATTGAGTCACCTGACGCGGCTCGTAACCTGAGAGTGTAACTGTTAATTCGATTTTCGATAGTCGGTAGCAATTAGTATCGATTATTTAGTAATATTTGTAATCGTTAAGTTGGTATTGGCTAGGCTCTCTGCTGTGATTGGTTGTTGCATTCGATGTACTGAATATTGAAATGTGGTTTCGATATTCGATAACTAACTGCTAATTCGGTTTTCGATAGTCGCTTCAAATTTAATATCGATAAGGTAATATTTGTAATCGATATGTTAAGGGTAATGGCCGAATGTGTGGGGTAAATAATGCATCTTTGTCATGGCTTTTCTTTGTCCAGTACGAATACGAAGAGGAAAGAAGAAGAAAAGTAAGGTTTTATCACAGTAATAGAAACACATTTAAAATAAATTAATGTTAAAAAGGTATAAATACTATCAGCAACATGGTTTCATCAGTAGATTTAAGTAATATGTTTGTAGGCTTTGGCTCTGTGTATGTTGATTTAATGAGTGGCAGGAAGTAATATTCGTAATAAAGGTATGATGTTAGCTGAAATTATTTGTGAAACCTACATTTTCATTACAGCTTCACATTCCAGTGACATTACAATAGTTTGCATCCCCACACTACATTTACAGTTATCTGTGTTATCAATGTAATTGTAAATCTAGTACAGCTGCATGTTTTAGTACTTTACAGAATAGTTTAGGACCATTGACAAATGCGGACTGCAGTGTGTGCATTATATTATGTGCATTCTATGGATCTTGATCACTAGGATGTGAAGCAAGTCAGGGTATAATGGACACTTGAAAATGTAATTTAGGAAGGATTCAAGCCACATTACACATAAAAGCTTTGTATACTGAAAGGAACATTGCATTAAGAAAGGAGGATTAAAGTAGCTTACAAGGAAATAAAATGAAATTTATTACATAAGCTTCTTTTCACATTCTTTCCTGTATAAGAACATGACCTTATGTACAAATGATGTGTAGTGTACATAGAGCTGACAAACTGATATTTTTACTAATTCATCAGTAGAGTGGAAGGTGTGCATCAGTTGGAATTATTTTAACACTATATTGAATCATTTGTTATTAGTGGACAGGCTTTTAATTTTGGTTAGGAGGTGGCTGCACATATTTATTCCTGTGTAATGGATACTTTCTTGCTTTGCTGCAAGGTAGCATTTGGCCAATGAGATCCTGTCTCTTCCTCATGTTGAATATTATTGTTTCAAATATGTATATATTTTTAGGCAAGTAGTATTATGTGAAATTTTGTAAAATCATTACATGCCTAACTTCTGTGAGCACTTGTCATAATTCTGATGACATTAATTTGGAAAAAGAATACTTCATTGTTAGATAAATTTCTCCAGAAATTCTTTTGGTGTGATATATGTGTTTTACAGCATCAGATGTAGACAAAGATTTGGTACGCACTCCAGGGATGGGCCGCATCACGGGCAGTGCTTCCATAGAGACTTTGGTGAGAGTTGGTATCGAAAAGGAAAATGGCCTTGCACCTGATAGCAAAATGGTTGTGTTGCATGACTTCACTCCATGTGTTGATGATGAACTGGAAGTGAAAAGAGGACAGGTAGGTGATTCTTGTAACTTACATAACTCGCAACTTTGGTTGCACTTAAATCTTTAACACGTCTGTGCTTCTGCTGAAGATGTCTTGTTTGTGAAATTTTAACCATATCTTGCTTTGTTATACAACATACTTTTGGACAGTAATTCTAACTGGCATTTCAGTTGGTAACAGTGAGATAGACAGAACACATGTATTGGTAACTATAGTTGGTGCAGAGATTTTTAGGTTAGTTTATTTCAAATACAATACTCAGACATGATGATTGCCCAGACCATTTTGTTGTTCAAGGAATTTCGTATTGTTAAAAAACCTAAAATCCCATAATTTCTGATCCAATATAGCCAGTTCACATTTTCACTATTTTCCTCTCAATTTTAATATTGTGCTCTGCCTGTGCCTCGGTATCCCAAGTGCTATGCTACTGGTTAGTGTTCGTTTTTTTTCCAACCAAAATTTTGTTGTAGTCTGTGTTCTCTGCATTGATTCTCCTACATCCTTTGCCAGTCTTAACATTCAACATTGATTTAATCATCTTAATCAGTAATATTGGTTGTAGAATACAAACTGTAAAGTTTATCATGATGAACTTCTTCTTCTTCTTGTATGGCTCTCTGGTCTGTATTCGGTCCATGGCCTCCTCAATTCTCCTCTTCCATTCGGTCCTCTGTTAGGTCAGTCTGTCGGAGGCTTTGATTGAGGTTTCGAAACATCTTCCTTTTTACGGTGCAAGGTTGTTAGCCTTGCGACCAACCCCGAACCTGGAGGACCAGGGTACCTGTCTTAGTCTGACCTCTCCCCCTCTACCAATCTGGCTAGGGAGGCTCTACCAGTAGGTCTTGGGATCACTGAGGTACTTGAGCCCCACCACCACGACAAGTTGCAGGTACCATTAAGTGAGGGAACTTCTTGTTAGGTTTAAAGATTCTTCTTGGAATTTTAATAGTTAATACATTGATAAAAAATTGTGTGTCTCTCTCCCTGGGGGTAGAGCAACTGGATCTTGAAGCCAACCACACATCTCTGCCTAGTGCTGAGGTTAAGAGTATGTGAAGCATACCTCCATTCCTCCATGTCTTTATACTGTGATGTGTAAGCACAGGAACAAGTTTATGTATATCTATGCTGTTGTATGATTTCAGGTGGTGAATATTTTGTACCGTGAAAATGACTGGGTATATGTGATAGCTGCTGACAGCAGGCAAGAGGGCTTCATACCTCACTCGTACTGTACACCTTATAACTCGCACTTAGGAGAGTTGGCACTGAGCAATGTAAAGAAGAAGCTTCCGAGAGAACAGAGGAATGGAAATAATAATAATAATGGCAGTACTGTGGGTGCAAGCAGTGGAGAAGGAGTGGGAGAGACAGACGTGCAAGAGACAAGGACAAATGGAGGTACACTGTCTGTCACTTGCGCTCCGTTGTATGATTCAGAATTAGTCTCACAGTAATACGTCTAATAAAGTTATTATCGTATATGTTAATGAGGAGGGGTTGACATAAGTTATAATCTTCATATTTAACACATACTTATCAAATTTATGAAAGTTTGGTGTCATGTGGAATGGAATTTATTAATGTTCTGTAGACAACCAAATCAATTCTTTATGTCCAATGTTTACGTCACTACAATTTTAGTAATTTCCAACACTCCATTCAATTTTAAACCGTACCTAAAAATGTTTGATGCTTGATTCTAGTGTTTGCAGAAATGTATTTTTCTGTAAGACTTGAGGTTCTCACAGCGGTGAGTATGAAGATTTCTGTCTTCTGTTTTCTGTTTGTCAAACAGTTTTATTATCTAGGATTTGAGGTTTTCATGGCAGTGAGTCTGAAGATGGCTGTCTTCTGGTTGTTGTGCCATGTAGTCTGGTAGAAGTTTACTTCTACCAGACTACCATCTTCAGTTTTATTGTCACCTTAAGATATGGTGCTATGTTACATAAATGTTACCGACAGCTGTGTCTTGGAATTACTATATAAAATACTGAAGGCTCGTCAGAATATTCGAGATCATTGTCATTTTGCTTTGACCTTTCACATTTGATTGGGCTATTAGGTGGACTTTAATTGTTGTTCGTGGTTTAGCAATATGCTTTTCTGACATGTGGCCAGCTGCGTAAGCCGTGGTGCACGACCAATTAAAGTTATATATACCAATATACAACGCAGCTGTGACACAATGAGAATTTATAAAATTCTGCCATGCAAAACCTATAAATATACTCTGTGGGTAAAATGAAGAGTTACGGATTATTACAGCTGGTGGTACATGTATTTGCCACTGGGTTGTAAGAGTTAATCATTAAATAAGGCATTCTGAAATGGTTTTATAACCTTCATTTAATATACTGTGTGGCGTGGTTTCAGTTCTGATTTGGGTTGTATAAGGTTTTAAGTATAAAGTTAATTTTTGATAACTAAATTTATAGTTGCAGATGTGTCTGATTGCGAGAGCTATGGCAACAAGAAAGTAACTGTAGCAACACAACAATTGAACATCACTAGTTCACAGGCGTCACTTCATAGTGTCTCTTCCTCACAACCTGATGTCCATCCTTTCTTTAAGGTTTGTAATCAAGAATTCCTTATATTGTGTGGTGGTAGGTGATATAAATCATCATATTACAGGGTTAGTAGCATAAAAATTTTTGCATGGGGGTTTAATTGATAATGAGAATGATATTGAAATTAAGATGACTGCCTTCTGGGATGTTGTCCCATGTAGTGTGTTAGAAGTTTACCATTGTTTCAGAGGTGCTTGCTGCCTCCGTCCATTGCCCTGATGATGGATGCGGCACACTGCTCTGAAAAATCAGTAAACTTCTTTGAGAATATATGGCACAGCATCTCAGAAGACAGTCATCGTCTTTGATCTAGTTTGTCAAAGACATTTGCTAGGCATGTGAACAGCCATCTTTTATGTATTATTCCTGCAATATATGTTAACGTTATTTGTTAAGTGCAAGAAGAAAAAGATAGAGAATTTTAACTTTTTTTCTCTCATTATTTTCAAGAAATTATTGTGGCTGGGAACCGTGGTACGTTAACTTACAAGATGCAATTTTCTCATTTGTCTATAATTCATTTAGGACTTATGATAGATATACAGTCATTGTATGATTCAATCTGTCAGCGTTAAATTGACCACTGCTTTCATGTACATGCCATAATTTGGTATGGGCCATTTCAGGATCCATCAGGTCGCTACATTGTTCTGTACACGTTCATTGCCCGGGATGAGAATGATGTGAGTGTGGAGAGAGGTGAATTTGTGACGGTTCTGAACAGAGAAGATCCCGACTGGTACTGGATAGTTCGAAGTGATGGGCAGGAAGGTTTTGTTCCCAGTGGCTTCGTGTATCCCGCACATGTCATACAGGGTAAGGTATGCTAATGTGAGAAATGGCAGCCGTTAACATGCTGCGATGCAAAGTTTATTTAAATGATATTTAATAAGTTAGGAACTGTACACATAACATACTTGGTGTGGGCAACAGAATTAGGCCCTGCTGATCTTCGTGATTGGCACTAGTGATATTGAAATTGTCTGGGGTCATTGGGATTTGTGTTTAGTTGGTGTTTGGGCAATGACTTCACCCAGAGTATTCTGCCTCCACAGATAATGACAGTAACCAGTATAAATGTTCTCTGCAGTCTTACTGAGATATGCTTGAGAAAGTATTTGTGTTTTCATAAGGAACAAACCAGAAGATGGCAAACAGTTTTAGTTGCCTATTTAGTCATGAAATTCTAGTGTAGTATGTACCCTCATAGTTAATAAAGCTTTGTTAAGCAACCTTACTTCTTTTTAAGGGCATCTGAACCAGAGCAACAACCAGAATGTAAATAACAATTTTGCGTCTCCTAGCAATGCTCACCTTCTGACTTCCCCTTCCAGTGATGACCTTCGCTATCATGGTACAGAACTTGTCATGTTGTATGACTATAAGGTGAGGAATTTAAATGTTTTGTAATGACAGTAATAACAATTTTATTTATGAGCAAATTAAGAGAAGGTTGAATTTTGGTAATTTTTGGTGTCATTCAGTTCAGAATCTGTCTTCTCTTTGCATATGTATCTGTGTGTATGGTTATTGTTCTCTGTTATTATGTCTTTGAATCAGGAACTGTGAAGATGAATAACATAAAATAAAATTTGTATTATCATTAAAGACCATGTTAAGTGTCTCCCTTGTCACCGTGACATGGCACGTCCTCAGGTTGTGGATGGAGGAGAAGGCCTTCATGTATGAAGTGTACCTGCAACAATATTTAATAAGCAGCTGCAGACGATCTACAAGGGGTGATCCTCCAGCATGGGAGTTGGGAAGGGGTCTAACAGCTCCCTACCGTAAGAAATCGGTGTGTGACAAAATGTTGCACAGGGCCTTAGCCGTGGATGAATTCTTTGGATTGATCTAAGCAGCAGATTGGAATGGGTCTTTGGAAAATAAGGTTTAGGGGTGTAGATTCATCTGGCTCAGGTTAGGGACTGATGGCATGTTCTTTTGGTCAATGTAATGTAATGTACGTTTTAGCTCCATACAATGTGGGGAATTCCTTGACTAAGTTGGCTTGCCATTAGCTTCTCAAGGAGGACTCTGGTCCGTGGAGTTGGATGTTATCATAAAGCCTTCTGTGCCAGTCCAGGTTCATAGTTCGATTCCAGAATGGGCTGAACCTTGAGATGAGGGGGTAAACCAGGCTTTGGCATGTTAATCTGGTTTATATAAATGAAGGAGGTGCAATTAGATGATATTTGGTATGCCTTACTTCATCCAAATGTGATTGATTTTATTAATTTTAGCCTTGTTAAATCTGTTAAATTGGAAGATGGCCATACTCAGTTGCTTGATTGTCTCTCTCCTCGACTTTCCATCTAGAGGGAGTGTGAGATAAAGGTTGCGCAATCGTTCAAATTGTTACGCAACGTATACTTAAGCCAACCCAGACGTGGAATGACCCCTTTTCAGATGTGGGATGACGATTGCATTATGACCATTGCCTGACTGAGACTGACCAGTGGAATTTGAATATGGCTTATAGGCGCGTTCCCGCTGTTATGGGGGAATGAATCAGATTGCTGCATTTAATTCAAATTTAATGACAATTACGTAATGCAGGAGTATTTAAAGAGCGATTGTGGTTGCGGGGCTCTCTCAAGTTTTGGTTCTTCAATTGAGCAGACACGTTTTATTCAAACGTAAAGTTTTACATAAAGAAAACAGCCGAATCAATGTGCTACTTCACAATAAGTGTGGTTGGATATATATACGTTTGTGTGTCTCAAGAGACAATAAAAGTATACTTCTCCAAGAACATCTCAGTGTCGTCTATCAGTTTCCCAAGACAAGATAATTCGCTTCCTTGGTGCAAAAACCGCTCCAACCATCGGCTTCCCCGTATATTCCCTGGGAGTCGGAAACTCTTGCTCGCCGACAACCCCACCCATCATCAGAATTACCTTCAACCTCTTTCACACATATCCTAAGTATTAAAAGTTGTAACTGCATGAGTGCCAGGCAAGCCACTGGTTTTGACTACAATAAACAAACAGCGAGTCAAGTGTGAGAGAGGACGGTTACACTTCTTTCTGTTTTTGTTTTTACAGGCACAGGCTCCAGATGACCTTTCTGTACGAAGAGGCGATTGGATCTATGCAGATCTCAATAATCAGACTGTGGATGGGTGGTTGTGGGCTTATGCTCCTAAGACTCGAAAATATGGCTTCATTCCTAAGGCTTATGCGCGCCCTCCAGCCATGACAAGTCTGTAACACGCATGTAGCTCCTACAATTAATATTGCCAAATACAGTTACAGGATTTCAACATTCCTGTGTTGCACAGTGAGCTCTTACAAGGAAGTTTAAGGTCCTAAATTGGAATATATTTTACCTGCACTGTGTATAAGGTACTTCGCTGATTTAACGAAAGATATTAACATGCCACTTGATTGGCACCAGTGAGAAGCACAGACGGTTGTTACATTTCAGCACTGTAGATGGCCACACAAGAACTAGTGCAGAAAGTTTGTGTGGATATTTTGTCATGAAAATATAAACTTGGTTTATTTTTGTTGTTACAAAATAAGGGTGGGAAATGTGTGCAATGATGTAAAATAAATATATCGCCATTTTACTTTTCGTCCGGTTCTGATGAATGCATCTTCTTTTCTCGGTTGTCTATTATGCACGTATTTAGTGTAATTATAATGACTGTTAATGTGTCTACAGGCTGTTCTGTACTTTATGCATCACTGTAAACAGTAGACCATGTTTACAAAAGCTGTACTAAGCTACCAAAAAGAAACCCATGTTAACTTAAAGGTTCATTGTTTCTGGTATTACTTCCTGAGTGACTGAGTTAAATGTGGCGGTTGCATTTTAGAATTTTAATGTAGATTCACATAAAATAGGTTTCAATAGTATGCTGTAAGTACATGCTCCATTCTCTGGAATCACTTAACACTATGTCTCTGATTCTGATCCTTGTATTTGTGTATCCGTGTTTATCTCGTGTGTTAAGTGTTACTATTGTAACATGCTGTTAATGTTGGTAATTACAGAATGAGAAAGAATTGCGTAACATACACAAATAAGTATCACCGTTTTCTTTCATGTCAATTGTGGCATCTCATTGAATTGTTCAGAGGGTTGTAACAGTCGTGAATGCCATATAATCCTTCTTATTTATATTTATTGTCTTTTGTTAAGAGGTTTAGTAAATGTTAGGTCCAAAATATTTATATGTACCATCTAGAATCTAGATGCCATTAGAATTTGAAGGTGCCATATTTGTATTCTGTAGACAGTTAATCACATTGAAAGGTAAATTTTTTGAGAGGTGGCATTTATTAAAGCAAACTATACTGTATTAGGGGCAAAAATATTTTGTACTGTTACTTGGCTTTAATTTATTATCTTTTCTTGTATCCTCGGAGATTTTACAGCAGCAGTTTGTACTAGCAGTGCAAGTGTTTGGTTTGAAGTGTGCTAAATGTAGGACTAATGGTATGTTTGTCTCAAAGAATAAGTAGAGATGGCATTTTTTACTGTTAAGATATCACATTATTTGTGAAGTAAATACCACTTTGCAAATTACATTGGTCAGTGTCAGAACTAGGGTGGAGCAGTTGCAATGGGTACAGCATTGTTTGCTTGCTTTTGGTTTATTTAATGATGCTTTCAGTTCTCATGATTGTGCAGCATTGAATGATTATATGATTGGTTAATAATGAATTGGAAAAGATGCGGAATGAAGCGGTCATGACCTAATTTGAGGTACTATCCCAGCATTTACCTGGAGGGACTGAAGAAAATTACAGAAAACCTCTAGTCAGGATAGCTGGTTTCCAGGGTGAGATTTGAACCCAGGATCTCTTGAATATCAAGAAGTTGAGCTAACCAATCAACAGCAGTGTTTGGTTGCCCTCTTTTAAAAGGTGCAGATTTGATCATAGAACCCCATATATCCAAGAATAAACCCATTTAGTCTGAAAGTTTTATCCCAAAAATGTGAGTACCATAAAATATGATTTTGTTTTAAACTTGAGTATTATTTTCTCATGGTTTTAAAAATTAAGGCCGCACAATTTATGAAACTTGTTTCAGGCAATAAAATACGTGATTTACCGTATGATTTTGGCATAAACATACACTCCTGCTCTATTTTCATATAATTGGAGTTTAAAATAACTGCATTTGCCACTACAATAGTAAGAAATTCATTTATTCCCGGTTGTAATTTTAGTCTTGTTTTATATGGTATTAGCATTATCATTGACTTCCAGTACATTATGTTATCACAGCATTCTGTTCCTATATTGAAGGTTAGAATATAATTCCTGGAACATTTTTTGTATTTGTTGTTGTTATGATGGAAGTTTACATAATGTTACAAAAATTTGTTTTATGTAACTGGATACACACACATGAATGCAGCTGTGTTCAACAAGTCGTCTGCTAATGTGAATGTGTGAACAATTTTATTCTCATACTGTTTGAGGGATAACTTTTGCGATCTCTTCAAGTTTCAAAGTTTAAAGATTGTGCTTGTGTGTCCAGCCTCTACATATCAAAGAACTCAAATATGGATAAATTAATTTTCACAAAATGTAGTCATAGTGAACTAACAAACTTCATGGAACAGAGTCTTTCTCGAGAAGCTTAGTGTTTGTCCATGTTAGAAAAGACTGATATTATATATTTGTAAACATTTAATATTTGGATTTCTGTATCGAATCTAATCCCATGCATTGTAATATCAACTGATTGAATCACTGCACTTGAAAACTAAAATTAATTTTTAAGAATCTTTTTGTCTATTCACAAGGTAAAACATTCCATTAAAAATGTAGAGTGTACTGAGAATCTCATTTCCAAATGGACTTGATGTTGAAATCTGTGATGTTGCAGTAATATAGTGCGAATACACCTTATTTGGAATACGCAGTATAAATTCACTTCCTCAAGCTTAAAAATGTCATTGTACTTGGTTAACCTTGATCAGGTGGTAGCTGATATTTACCTGGTAAAGAAATTTTCTGTTGTATAACTCAAAGGCACATCACTGTGGTCATGATAGTCTGCCATTGGATCTTATGCTATAAGATCTATTTAAATATTATTTGTCATCTCCATGCATACAACATGCCTCATCCATCATATCCATATGTTATTTGACATTCCCTCTTTCTGATCTGTCTGATCTAGAATCAAATGGATTTTTATAGTGGAAGCCCTTATTAGAACAGACTTATAAAATATAACCTCTCTACAATGAGTAATACTGTACTTGAAATCAAACATTATTTCTTGCATTAAATATTCACAAAAATAACAAGTTACAAATTATGGGATTATACAATGTGTTATGTTCTTCTTTAAGAAATTATATTAAACATGGCTTAAGTGGATGATCACATACAAATGATGGGTAATTGCATGATATTCAGGAGAAAAATTACTTGATGTAAAAGTACATGTTACCTTATTTATTAAAAAAAATCCTTGTACTACTTGACTTGCCTAGTCAGTAACTTGCATTAAATTGTGGATACTGTTCAGATTTGAAATCTTATATATTTGCATTTATGAATATTTGAAGTGCTATAAAATTCCAGCAATCATTGTGACAAGAGGACAATTTACATAACTCTGTATTGGCCTACCTGTAAATGTAAAATGTTAATAGTGTCATTTTGCTGTATATGTTAATGTAGGTTTCAACATCATATATAAAGATATGTAAACATTGCAACAAATTAAATTGTTGCAAGTCCTGTTAAAATATTCCGTTATTCATTTATCAGTTGTTAATGGCAATTAAATGGTGATGTTGTCTTTGAAATTAGACATAATTATATACATTTTATATTAAAAGGAGAGTATTTTTGTTACTTGCGTGGTAAGAATGGTTTTATATTTGTATTTTTAAAGTTTATGTACTAAGGAGACTTTTTGAACAACTGTTTTTACAATGTTTTGTAAGTACTTTTATTAAATTTTTAATCAATAAAATATCTTCATAACCTAATTCTTTTTATAAATTTTCTCGTACAACAGTATGTTTGCATAATACTCTTTTGCAGCACACAAGTATCCACATATTTGGAATAGGTAAGGCTTCTGTTAACACAGCTGAGGTAAAGTTTTACTGAGAGTGAATATTTATGGAATTGCCCTTCAGAAGTTTAAACATTTTTCTATGTTCCAGTCTGTACCCCAGTATGAGAGCATTTGTGAGGGGAATTTGGGTAAATTCACATTCCTATGGAAATTTTTCAATATGAAATATTCACTAACTCCTGATCGTCCTTTGAGCTATATTTTTGAAATATATTTTGTATAGACTCCTATACAGGTAAATTTTGGTGCAACTTTCAATTTTACTCATGTTTCCTTTCCTTGAAAATTGTTTTCAGAATAATGATTTGAGAGGGTGGACTGGATTCATCTCTTTCAGGACAGGGACTGGAGTTAGACTCCTGTGTACATGTTAGTGATCCTTCAGGTTTCACGAAAACCAACATTTCTCGACTGCATGTACATTTATTTTTTCAGCATAGAGACTACTCCATGGAGTTAATTATTTATAAAAGCTTATGCACGCATGCAAATAGTGGTCAAGGTAGGTTTGTTTATAATAGAATACTAGACTCTGGTTTGTTTGATAGAAAATAGTTGAGTGATCATACTATATTTTTTATGCAAAGGCCATACATGTTAAACAGATTTTATGCGTTTTGTAAATAGCGCCATTGAAGTAATTAGTTTGTATCCATTAAACTAGGTGGAGATAAATAGGTATTTAAACATACATTTATAACAACATGGTAATATAAAACACGTAGTAACATAAAAGAATGTCTTACTTTTGATTTTAAGATTGCATGAAATTAAATTATAAATAATTTGTCATCAAGTAATATTTTTCAGTTGATGTCGTCTGCTGTGCTACGAGTATGATGCTTCCCTCTATTGTGTTTCGGCCAAGTTGCTGGTTCAACGGAGACGTAGAAAATGGGGGCTTACTGAAATTTGTGGTATCTCAATGGAATAGGTTCAGGGCCCCCAAATAAACACTTATTAATGGTAAATAAAGGAAACTAGTTATGTGATACTTTTTATAGCTTCATGACTAAGTTTTAAACGACATATACCATCATTTGAAGGTATCATTTTCGATTCGTATTATGTCCAATTGAAGCAAAATTTTTACACAAGTTTGCAGTGTCTGATGGTAATTCACTATACTACCAACCTGATAGTACAATAATTGAGTGTACTTTAATATATATCTTCAAATTGTGATTTAACCAAGAGGAAATTTAAATGGTGGGATGTAGAATAGAATTTATTTACATTCCATAGATCATTCTTAGGCCTAAGCCATGAATGTAGATCAGGTCATAGCACAAATACAAGACTTGTTTCTAGTACAAATATAAATACATAGTTGTAACAGCTATTGACAGATTTTTGACACTACAGTATTACAGCAAAATAATTATGATGGGATACCATCACCATTATTACTTACATGCATTTATAAATTCTACTGTGTAGAAGGAGTAAGATGAGAGATACGCTTTTAACTCTGGCTTAAACATTTACTGGGTAGTGGAAGAATATTAAAACTTCTTAAATAATTCCCTACAAGAGGCTCTCCTTTTAGTGCCTGCCATTATTCTAATGATCCTCTTTTGAATGTAAAATACTTTCTTGCTGTCCACTGAATTTCCCCAGAAAATGATTCCGTATGACACGATTGAATGGAAGTAAGCAAAGTAAAATAATTTTAAAGTTTCTGTTTTCATGAGTGCTGCAACTGCCCTCACCTGCAAAGACGTTCGAGTTTAAGAAATCACTCTGTTATACATAATTTTTTCAAATATTTTAGAGATTTCTGGTGCTTTCATATGGTGTTCAGTCAAACATAGGATATGGGGTGAATATGTATTATTTATGGACATTGATAATTCATCAGTTTTGTTTGAAAGTCCTCTAATGTTCTAAGGATATACTATGAAATTTTTATTTTGATTGTGATCTAAATTTGGAACTGGCTTACTACAGTGACTTGGATATCTTTCAGGTATTTAGTGATAAAATTTGGCTTTAACCTAAAAAAGGCCTAGGTCTTACACCAGTGATTACGGGAATCTTACCAATATTTGGTTTGCACCTAATCTTATTGGCAATGAGTTGCACAAGCTTCTCCTTACCCCTTGAATTCAGGTGCAATCCATGTCTGGTGTGGTCATACCTATTCACAGATGACACGTCAATTAATCAAATGTGCGATCTGTCCGCATTCCAAAGCGCATGCTCAAGTCTCACATTTGCACTCTTCACCCACTTGCTCATATGTAGACATGAAACGTTTGTAATAAATAAATTACATTTGACACCAATTTTAGATTGCTCTGATTCTTTTACCATTGGATTGAACTCTCAGGGCTTTGCAACAAAATTGAGGGGCAATGAATGCTGGAACTGCTGCACATGGTTTCTGGCGAGCAGAGGACACCAGTTTTGTTTTGCTGAAGGGACTGCTCCAAGTGCAGGTTCTTATAACGTGCAGGCAAGTATGTGGTGACACGTTTGTGAGGTTTTAAGAAGATCGTTGGTCATGTTGTAGTGACAGATATTTCATCGAGTGCTTTGGTGAATTTATGAGACATACAATTTATCCATTTCATCCCTAACAGGCAAAATCTGTTTTTCTGTCATTGTCACATGGACTTACCACATATTTCTTCTAGGTGTTTTTCATCAACTACTTAACTTCTGTTCTGCCTACTAGAATAGAACAGAATTTATTTACATTCTATAGATCCTTCATAGGCCTAAGCAGAGGATGTGGAACATGTCTTAACACAAGCACAATACTTATTTCTAATACAGATATAAATGACATAGTTATGACAGTAATTTACGACTACAGTATTACTGGAAAATTAATTACACTAGAAGGCATAACCATTATTGCTTACATGTATTTATAATAGCTAGGAATTTTTGGTTGAGGTAAATTCTTCTATTGAGTAGGAGTGAGGTTAGAGTTGCTCATATTGTACTGGCTTAAATTTCTTATTTTTACTGAATCTGTAGAAGAAAGTGTTGTTAGGATTGTCATTGCAGAATGGCTGCTATGGGTAATTTTTTTATTTAACAATGATTTTCATCTTTGATTTGGTAGAACGTATGTAAATTATGAATTGGGAAGGATGTGGAAGGAAGTGTTATTGGAAAATGGCAGTGAACCTTCAGGCTCTGTAAAGGGCAGGAATTCATCACTAGCTTCACAATCATCAGATTTTTGAGGACTTTAAAAGTTATATAAAGGATGAATTATTGTAACTCTTTTTAACGGTATGATGCCTTAGTAGTGAAGTTTAAATGGATTACATTGCCTGTATTAGGTAAGTAACCTGATGTTTACACCGATGTGTCATCTGTGCATTTGTGACTGAAGGAAATAGCTGTGGTGAAGACAGGTTAAATGAGGGAATGAAAGAATGTGGAATATAATGTTTCTGCAGAAGTAAACTTTGTAGTTATGTAACGGATTTTAAGTGACATTGCAGTGTATCGTACGACACTTACATATGAAGTCTGAATGTGATGTTATAGTTTGTGATAATTATTTGGATATTGCTTAGGATGTATTCACAGTTATGGAATGATATTGTTCTCAATGCACATGCACCAGCTAAGTAATTGTGATACAGAGGTCTGTTTTTACCAGGAGCTAAGGCATGTATTCGATTAATTGCCCAAGTGCCGCGTAGAAACTTTGTTAGGAGATCTTGGTTTAAAATTGGGGAGAGAAGGTTTTTTTCGAACTGACAGTTGGGAATGAGAGTTTACTTTAAACTAATAATGATAATGGTCTTGGAGGATTGGAATTGCATGGGACATAACAGCATTTGGTCTGTGCTAATGATGTTGATTTCATCAGTGAAAACATAAGATTGCCTGATGATGGAGGCAACAAGGACCTCTGAAACGTTGGTAAATTTCTACCAGACTACATGGCGCAACAACCTAGAAGACAGCCGTATTCTTTACGTAGTTAATGTTTTGGACTGACAACATTTTTCTGCTTGATTTGTTTGTGGCTCTTTATATTATCTTTACTTCAGGTTGGAGTTCAGTGGGTTAAAGATTAATTTGTTTTAAAAGCAGCTTCTTTTTACAGTATACTCCAAGTTAAAATAACAGGTGTGCTCTGCTAACCAACAGGTAGAAATGCCAGGCAACAAGTGGCTCTGTGGCCCCTAAAGGTAAGGTGTGCCACTCTGCCAGCATGGGTGGAGCACTGAGTAATTTCTTCCAGTCAGGAAGTGCACTTCTGTCAGCAGGTAATCATCGTGGTGTCTCGGAACAGGCGCGCAACAAAGTGCACATCATATTTGACGCTCTCAGGGCCAATCCTAGAGTAACTGTTCAGAGACTGGAAGGTCTGCTGTCAGAAATACCAAAGGTGAGTCATGTAAGAATTCTTTTAATGTTGAAAACTTTTCCTTCATCTGTATTTGCCATTCATAGGAAGGTTATTTAAAATGTATTTTTGTTTCACTAATTAATACCCTCAAGTATGTAGTGAGGCATTTCCCATAACTCAAAGTATCCTGTAAGCATTATGTGATCAGTGAGAGTGCATTTAGTAGATCCATTTTTGAGTGTGGTGGAATGAATATATATGTAGTTATATATGACTTGAGGCTTTTGTGGCGACTAAACTCTGTAAAATCCTCTTGAGCGGCAAGCCACATCAAAATGGAGCTGTAGTCTAACGTTTCAGAGACATACTCTGTCTCCATCATCAGGGAATGATGGACATTATAAAATTAAAAATTTTCCAAATTAAAAGTATAAAAAAATTCACCGATGATGGAGACAGAGAATGTCTGAAACATTGAACTATGGCTTCATTTTGACACTGCTCGTCTCCCGAGGGGATTTTATTGAACATTTGTAATCTTTACATGTGACAGTATTTTGTCGTTTCCATTGCAGAATGAAAACATCATGTTAGTCCACAATGAAGAAGGATATAACCTCCTCCAGAAATGTGTTGGAATTAACAATATTGAAATGGTTCGGTGGATCTTGTCTCGAAATCCAGATGTCAACAGAGGTGCGTGCTCGTTACCATTGCATATTGCAAGCTTCAAAGGGTGAGTTAGTGATTAGTTGATTATGTTTTGGTTTACTTTGAACGCAAAGGTTATTCACGTGTCCTTTCACTATGTGACAGTGTTGAAGGTTAGCAAGCACGTTTAAGTGCTAGAATAAAAATATTAGCTCTGTCAATTTCCCACATATAAATGAGGAACTTGGGTACAGAGCTATATGTAAACCAATATGAGATTTGAGGCTTTAGTAGTGATAACAATTTGGATTGTGGTTTTCAGGGTCATGATGGCATATAACCTTGTTTGTGGCTGGCAACATTTTGGAAGAACAAATCACCTCCATCTTTGGGTTAGAAAATTCTTCACTTCTGTTCTGAAGATGGAAGTAATAGGTTCCTCTGAAATATTGGTAACCATGTACAAGACTACATGGTGTAAGAAGCCAGAAGACCAGAATCCAAAAAAATGTTAATCTCCTGTGTTTTGGCGCCTCGCATGGTACCACAGAGAAAACCTCATATTTGGCAAACAATTTTTGATGATGTTTTTGAGTGAAGTTCCTGTCACGTGATTAATGCAGTGAAGTGTTCGCAAATAGGTACGATGGCTGCGTGGAGATTCTGTTGAAGTATGGAGCAAAGGTGGACGTTGAATCACGTATGTGCTGGCCAGGTCCTCACAACCAAAACTGCGAGGAGAGAGGCAAATATTGTGTGCAAGATGAGTCCATGGCTGACAGGTCAAGTGATAAATTACAGGGTTCGCTTTTCTATGCAATTGATGGTGACCAGGTAGGCTCACATATTATGTTCTGTCATTAATACTGCTGAAGTTTGATTGAAGTTGGTATGTCAGTTCTGAGATGGTAGAAAGAACTGTGAACTGTTGAAGAACATATTGTTTAAAGCAGCCACAGCCCACCCAGGAATTGTGGTCCTCTTTTGAGTGCGGCTGATGGTAAAATATAGTACATATATAGGTGTTCCAGAGAGATTTGTATACATTATAATGTGGAATATTAGCTTTGCGTGTATACATATTTTTGGGACAACCTGTGTATTAAAATATTATAAAAAATATAATTTAATAGGAAATATACTTTATAGAAATCTTTAAGGTTCATTGGTGATTATTTTTTTGGCATTTTAAACAATTTGTATAACTTGGGGCCTCATACTGTTTCATTCACATTGCAGTCGCCTCAGACTAAAAGAATTTGGGAACACACTGTTCTAAAGTTTTCTGAGTGTTTTGTAGAAAGGGATGGTTTATGGTATTTTATTGCGTAATTACTGGTTTACCATACTGTTATTGTTTGTGGTCACATGAACGTTCATCTTCTGCATATTTATGACTACTGCAAATACAACATTGTTCGGCTTCATATATTATTATTCTGTTAGAAAGTTAAATGGATTTCAGAGAATAAATTTCCTCTTGAAGCTCTGTCTTGGTTTACAATTTAGGGAATAAGAATTTCTCCTTTGTTATTTCAAAATAATTAATACATCCACACGTGTGAGCATGTATCTTACTAGATCCTTCTGAACTCTCTGTTGATAATCTCATAATTCTGTGGGTCTCACCTGGCCTTTTCAGTAGTTTTGACTGAAAGACACCCCCGTCCCCCTATTTTGTGAGTATATAAAAATAACGTTTTCAGGTGGATACTTTAGTGGCATTATTAGAAGATGGAGAAGACCGCTGGTCACCATGGCAACAGAAGCGACCCCTGTTGCAGATTGCTTGTGAACGTGGGGCATTTAACTGTGTGAAGTTTCTAGTGTCACATAGGTCTGAAGAGATAAATCAGTGCTATGATGAATATTACCCCATCCACCAGGCGGCATTACATAATATTAAATTTCTTGATCTTCTGATAACGTGAGTATTGCATAAGTTGTAAAATTTTTGTTTCTGATTGATAGCAGTAATACTCATTGATGTGTTTTTAAATTGATTATTTACATATATATAATCAGGTTGTCACGTTTCCTGTAAATTTAGGAGCCACCACCAAAAACTAGGAGCCAGAAAATATATTCATATTTGTCGGAGATAGAAGTAATATTTTTGACATATCAAAATTTAAATACCTTCTCATTACTTCATAGATAAGACCAAGAATGGATTTAAAAGTTAGTACGTGGCACAAATTTTGAAATGTAACAAATTTTTGCAAAGGTGTGAAACCATCCCAATAATATACAGAAATTTATAGGTGCTGTCATGAAAATTTTTGGGCACATTGGTGTCTTGGCTCCTAGGATTTATTCAGGCCTGTATATTTTATTTTGAAATTTGAATTTAACTGCTTTGGTTTGATTATAGCTCTGGCGCAGAAACAAAGGTTCGTACTGCAACTCAGCAAATGACAGTGTTGCATATAGTGTTCCTTATTGGTCGAAAGTCTGCTGAGGACACTCTTCAAACCTGCAAGCTTCTTTTGGAACATGGTCTCCGTGAACTGATCAATGAACCTGATTCATTGGGCAACACTCCTTTGCATGGCCTGATTGTAAGATATGCTTTGGAAGAGGCACGCTATGGGTATGACCATGAAAATCAGCCTTGGAACAAATGGGATGTCTTGCATCTGGTGAGTGCATATGGTGTGAATGGAATAGGATGCTATGAATTGAACACATGAAAATACCTAGATTGTTTTAAAACTCTCATGGGGTGGTACAATATTACCCATAAAATGTATGCGATGTATTAGTAGGAATTTTATAGGTACTGCCACTGAGCTTACCTCTCATAACTGCCCTCGGTAGTGGGTTTAGGTTGCTTGGAATTTTTATACACTCTCAAAAATACAAAAATAAGAGAACTTTACTGATTAACTAACTCATATAACAGAGTATTTTTGACCAGCTAATAACCTGCTCAGCTAGTTTAGAAATTCCCCACCTTTTATGGAACCTGGAGTTTCATTACCATGTTCACAAAGACTGGGCACTGGACCATATCCCAAGCCAGATGAATCCAATCCACATCCTCACATTCTGTTTTCATATAAATCATCTTAATGTATGAACATATTGCTTCAATTTTCAGGTTTGAAGTAAATTAAGTGACTCACTTGTACCTTACAGAGGTGATGCATTCATCTGAATTTATTGATCAGCTGAGTAACTGTTAGTTTCTCAAGAAAGACTGCTCCATGGGGATAATATTATATTGCATTCTAGGTGCGATATCTTCTGCAGAATGGTGCTCGTCCTTCTATAAACCAACCTGGTAATAGTGCACTTGCTTGTGTATTGAGGCATGTTCGGGATTGGGAATTCCGTTATGAATTACTCAGTATGTTGCTTCAAGAAGGAGGAAATCCGAATGTTGTCGGAAGAGATGGATCTGTACCCCTCATGGTGTGTCTAGTGCCACTAATCAACAAGGATCCTCTGCATCACTTTACTCACACTATGAAAGTAAGTGAATTGTCACTTATGAGCTGGAAACCTTTTGCATTCCTTAAGTTAACTTTTATGTGGAACTCATCTGTTTATCTCTTTTGATTCAGAATTTATTATTACCTAAGCTAGTTATTCTGAAATTTAATTCACTGATGCGGCCGTCCACCGCCAGTTCCCATCAGCAAGCGTGCTACAGAGGACCAGATTTGTTACGCAGCAGCCCTGAGGATGAGAGCAGAGATTGCTCTCGAAACGTTGGCGGTAGATATGGTTTATTCACCATTCAGCCACGTGACGCGGATTGTTACCCGAGAGTCTTTCATCAACTGTATGTGTTTGTTTGCTGCACAGAAATGAAATTGAGGGAACTGAACTGGGATCATAAAACTGTCTTTTCTTCATCAGCTTTTACAGATTAGGGCCTCCAGCCTATTCTATTTCAAATTTGATTTTGAAAGTATGATTAGAAATTTGGTATAGAACTACTTGAATGAAGGATTCATCTTTCTACACAGGACATCACAAGACATTGCAGGGAAGCTTGGTCATACATCCATGCTCCAAGTGGGAACTGAAACTGCAGTCACAATGTTTGAGCACCTTTAGATCCTGTTTTCCTTAGACTGTATGATCACTGTGATTGTATAATGTAATCCTTAAAATGAGAACCTTTTGAATTTGAATTTTGCTTTTGTAAGGAAGGAAAGAAGTCCTGTTGGCTAGGACAACAATCCTCAGAGGTATTGACAGAAATTTATGACATATTTTATTAAATTGTAAAACTAACTGAGCAAGTTGGTAGTAATAAATGTAGTATCTTTGAATTTTTGTTTGAAAATGTATCTTCTAGTACTCTTCTTGCAATAAAAACTAATTTGTACTAACATTGCTTTCACAGGTTTGTTACCTGAACTGTGTACGGATTCTTTGTAAACATGGTGCGAATCCTAACTGCTCATCACGAAGCAATCTCACCCCACTCCACGTGCTGGTGTTCACTGCTAGTGAAAACATTGCTCTTAATCGTGAAGAGGAGAAAGCTCAGAACTTTGAATTCATTCGAAATCTTCTGGTACTGTTGTTACAGTATGGTCTTGATCCTAACGTACGTTTCTCTCAGAGAACTCAGCATATTCTTCAGTCAATCATGGACATGGTTAAAAAAGCTCGTAGTCCGTCGGACATTAATCATGTGTATGATCTGACTTTAACTTTAATACAGTATGGTGCAAATCCAAATATAAATATTTCAACTTCAGAATCAATGGCAATTTGTCATTCACAGTCATCATTGTTCTTGAAGAAGTCATCAAATCAGGTTCTGTATTATTACGTAATGTTGATATGCCGTAAAGAGGATCTTCTCCTGGATCCACAGCAGAGATTTGCACGCATAGTGTGGCTGTATTATTTGTGTATGAACCATCGAGAGTTATTTGCATGTCTTAAGGTGCTATATACTCAGCAGACTGGACTGGTGCCAGTGCGTGGGAGTGCGCTCTGTAATTTGGTGCGTGAATTATACGCACGACCAAGGACGCTCAAGCAGATCTGCCGTGTAGCCATCTGTGTTGCTCTAGGAAGACGCCCAGGAATGCATGTAAATAAACTACCTTTGCCAGCACCACTCAAAGATTACATACTCAGTTTTGAACCATAAAGTCATTATTTTCTAATTTGCTGCATTTCCCTTGCCTTCATCCATGTCTTATTTTCAAAAAAAAAAAAAAAACATTTACCGTATCACAGTGCCATGATTCATAATGATTTAACCATATTGTAGCTGTTTGTTCTTTTAAATTCCGTAATAGACGAACGTCTGGAATATACTTATTTTGTCCCCGAAATTGTGAAGCCAATCAAGTCTATAGAAATGTGCTTTGGATGCCTATAAATTTCACAAACAAAAATGCAGAAATGAAAAATGTTGTAAAATAAGGTAAAGAAAATTAACACCAGTTATAATCTGATGTACACATAAGCAGACAATCGACTATTTACTTCTGTGATGAGATGTGGGTCAGCCCGATATAAGATGAGATGGAAAGACAGTTTTCCTTGAAAGCAGAACAAGCCTATGATCCTATACTTTTTGGTCCATGATGATGATTTTTGTTGTGTGAGGACTGAAAATTTTATTTCAATCCCTGTACAAAACAAATATTTAAGCTTGGGTATAGTCGTACAAATATGTACAAGGTCTGACACTAAAATACTGAGGCAGATTCTGCAAGCATTTTTTTTATTGGTGTTATCACCTTCAACAAACTCTTCTGACTTCATACACATCCTAGCATCTCTGTTGTGCCTGGAAACACCACTGGAAATTATTTTCTGTTTGTGGTTTCAGAACTATCAACAGTTTGTACGGATTATCGTCAGTTGATTCAAAATACAATACTTTAACTTAAATTTTCAATTATGGGAGCATGAAAAATTCATATGGGGGCAAAGATCTAGTGAATTTGTTGGGTGTTCCAATTCTAGTATTTGGTTTTTGGCCTTGCCTTGTGGAGAAAGCTATATTAGAAGGTATGTTATGATGCAAAATCCACTTGTCCAATTATAGGTTCAGAAAATTTGTAATTTTGCTTTTGTGTTATGTAGGATGACCCACATCACATCACAGCCTACAGTTTCTTTTCCAGAACATTGGTTTTTCCAAAAAGCATTTCTGTAAAGTATAAATAAATTTCTTTCTTTCTCAGTTCTTACATATCACTAAGATTTTTCAGCTCTGTCTTTATGGAAGATATGTTTATGTACTAAGTTTTGGCCAGAATCAGTCTGACTGTTTCTGTTCTCATGTTTATTTAACTGTTAACTTTTGAACTGTGAGTTGACAATCATATCCCAGTACTTGGTACTTTTTGCACATTTGAATCAGTTCTTAACCTTGCTTGGTGGTTGGATCATTTATCAGCATTGCATTTTCTCTTCCATCTTAAAGTCTCTTAACATAATAGAATCTTGTGCTGTACACATTTCTTTTCCATAAACTTGTAGCATTTTGTAAAATGAAATTCTTTTTTTTTTTTTTTACTAATTCCACTATAAATTTTGTGTCAATTCTCTGTTTAAGAATGTATCATTCCTTTTCTTGAGAAAGGAACAAAACACTGCTTCAATACAATGCTTGTTGCTACTGCAGAATAAACTAAACATATGTATTTATCAGTTTCTTAATGTCACTGATATATTCTGATTCCTGATTACCCCTCTTTATCCACCTTCTGTCTTTTTTTCCAGTCCTCTCGCTGTCATTGCATCCCACGTGCCTTTTGTCCGTCTAACTCATGGTCTTCTCCTCATCGCCCTCCTTGGTGGTGCCCGTTTCAGCTCTTTTTTGGGTATGTTCATACTGTTACTTGTTTTATGTTATATTCTTTCTTTATTTCCAGTAACAGTTTCATTATATATTTTTTTAGTTTTATGAATCAAGGTGACAAAAGCAAAGCAGCATATATTAGAATAAAACGTGTATCCAAACTTGATGTAGTTGTTGCTATGGGGTAAGACCATGTCTTTGTGGAACTACAGCTGTCAATAGGCCCATTGTCCAACCCACAGATGACACATGAGTGAATATGGAACAGTTAGAGAATCATATTGATGGGAAGACAAAAGGACTTGTAGAAAACCTGTCCCACTGCCACTTTTCCCAATACAAATTCCACAAGGACTGCCCTGGGTGTGAACCCAGGCTTCCATGGTAAGAAACCAGTGAGTAACTACCTCAGCTATGGCACAACTTTTACAGTTTTTTCACTAACGTTGATTAAATTTTATGTTCATGTTGTTTATCACAGAAAGAAAATATTCAGTAATAGAAATTTGATTGAGTTCAATATCTCATGTTTATCATATACTTGTTTTGTAGTGACTAAAAATTTGAAGTTGTAAGATTTGTGCTGCCATAATTCTGGTGTATAAGTTAGAACTTGTATGATCAACTCTTTGTAAATATAAACAACATTTGCAAGAAGCTGAACACAATTCTGTGATAAAAGAGTCCTCCAGAAGGTGAATCAGATCCTGCTTTCACCGTAATCAAATGTTAAAACATGCTTTTTTCTAAGTGGTGATGACAATGACGTGTATGTGTAAAATTGCAGGTAAGTCACAGATGGTCATTCACTACCTATTTATTCATTAACTGCATTATTATGTGTTTATACCCAGTGGTGATCACATACTGAAATGAGACTAATCACAGTAGAAGTCATATGACATCTGTCGTTGCCACTGTAAGGATAGCTTTGCCATAAGATTGTTATGTAATTTTAACGGTCCTTAATTGATTCATTTTGTATCACATCTATAAACACTTCTTTATGAGAAAAAGACCTAAAAGTGTGTATCAAGTATCAGTGAATTACATTACATACTTTACATAAAGTACTTATGATTTATTTAGATTTCAGTTGGAATTATTAACTATGACAATTTAAAAGTATTACATGAATGTTTTACTTCTTTTATCTATTGTTGAATCCAGCTTTATGCACCTTTAAAAATTATAAAATGAATTGCATATTATAATTGAAATTTTAATTTTTTAAATGTTTTTCCCATGTGATCACAATACATTACACTGTAGATTAAGTTTCAGGTGAGTGGTGAGGTGCTGTTAAAAAATTGAAGCTGTGTGAAATTCTAAGAAAAAATTGTTAATAAAATTGAGAGAGAATAATAATTATTGAGCTGGCCGAGAAATTACCGCTGTCAGATTCTCCGGAACCGTGGTTCCACTGTAACTTTTTGAATAAAAATTGGTTGACGACGACGACAAATCACGAATTTTTATAATAGAGATTATCACAGGTAGGAAAGGTAAGGTTACGGTTGGTTTTGTTAGCGTAAGTTTTATTGGGTTACGTTGAGTGAGTTCAAACCTCAAAATACATGGCCTTCAGAGGACTCATGAAGGCGAGTTTTAGGTACGTTACGGGATGTTGTGTTAGGTTGTGTCGAGACAGAATTGTTGACCATCCATTCTGTTTATGAAGTGGAAACTTTGTCTCATGCTGTATTTCGACACATATAGGCACTACTTAAGAAATATTGACAAATATCTGACCATAATTACGTTACGATAAAGCACATTTTTAATCATCGTGTCCAATTCCGCGTTTCTTCCACCTTGGGACTTTGATATGTTCGTGGGACTTTATGACAAGATCCATGACATTATATAGTATGAATTTCATGATCTTACCTGTGGCATGACGTCCATACAAAATTTCAATAACCTCTTACCATTTATTCTCTGCTCTTAAATTCGTTCGGTGGCGTACCAACTGTTGGAATAATTTATTACATTTTTCTGTTAGAAGTTTAACGCATGTAGGTTAATCTGTGTGAGTCGTGTTCATAATTGGATCTGTTTCGAATTTTGGAATTAATTTGTGCTTTTGTTCTTATTATTTTCTTTAATGTGTTCTTTGGACAACTGCTTCAGTGTTTTGTACTCCAGGGTTTGGTCTGTTGTGTTGGTAAATTGGTGTCATAGGTAATATCGTAGTTTATGAATAGTATTATACTATCTATGAGCTGTATTGGATTGGTCGCATAAAGGATTAATGTGGACAGTTAGGAAAAGACGATAGTGCCAGTATCGGTAATGAAGTATTGGCATTAGTAGAGTATGTAAGTCTGTATGACAGAATGTTGGCAGTTTGGTGAAAAAATGGTTTGTAAGCTACCAGGAGTAGATTGCTCAAATTGGACAGTAAAATAATTTCATTGTAACAGAAAAAGTGCACAAATGCCCTTACTTTCTAACATGTTCCAATATGTAAGAACCATTGTTAGTTGTAATAATAGATTACTTTTGTTTAATTGTTCTCTTCTCTATTCTGTACTGATGACTGAACATGTAAGTGGGTTGTTGTTGTGTGAAAAGAGAACTATTATTGCAGTACCAATTTAGTTTTTAATATGTGTCAAAGTTGATTCTTTCACAGGTAAAAATGGATCTTATCCCTTTTGTTCTCTAATGTTGTTATTTGGCTCACATTGTAGGTCTATTTCCCAGTGTTATAAATACAGATATATAAGTATTAAAGCTTCATATAAATGCAGGATGGGTAACATGAACTCAAGAATTTTGAAGTTTAGTGGAACATTCACATTTGTAGACTTGAACAGATATAGTTATTATGGGAAATTAAAAGTTATGAATGCATTGTTATTTGGTTTAATTGTATGCATGCATTTTATCTAGCATAGATCTGGAGTAGAAGGCACTTATAGGCATATGCTGATAATTTCCCCAACAGCATTAATATTTCATATTATAAAAAAAATTTCAGAGCTGAGTCCAAATATTTTAAAATTGTATATATTTTTTAATTTATTACATCAGTTTTGGTTTCTGTGAGTCATAATTATCTTATATAAATAATGATATATTATGAAAATATGTATTCATTGGACTAAGTTGTGGGATGGGTAAATTGGATTTATGCTGCTGCAATCTGATGTAAAAAGAAAGGCACTGAGAAACTGTTGACACTCAACAAGAATTTAAAAAGAAACGTCTAGTGCTTACTTTATTTCAAATGAATTTGACTATACAAGGAGACTAGTGTGAATTATGAGTTAGTAGTTATACACTTTAGTCATAAATTGCCACCAGTAGATTCCAACTACCTAATAGTTGCCAAGCACAATGGCTTAAGAGTTTGCATCTCTTGGTGGGTAACCTAAAAATATATTTCCAAAAATCAAGGCCAGTTGGCCATATCCAGACACTTGTCTCATTTAAAATGTTTCTGCTGTTTTCATTTTAGGTCTTCTGTATATCTGGTATTGTTACTAATAACAGATCAGTATTAAATTGTTCAGACCTGAAAGGAGCCAATTTTAATTACTAATCTTTACATTATACCATTTCATTTTTGATGTAGTTGTACAAGAGAGACCATATTATATTTTAAATTTAAATAAATTTTAAACCTGGAACAGAACAAGATAGCTGTAAAATTGGCTGATTTTAAACTATCCCTCACACTAAACACATTAATTTCAGGACTGAACATAATGGGATTTGAAGTAAACCGATTTCAAGGTGAAGTCGATGAAGAATTAGTGTGTCCTATTTGCTCAGGAGTGCTAGAAGACCCACTTCAGGTAAGAAAAAGTAGAAATAACGTTGCAAGACAGTATCCATGTGGGTTAATATTAGCTTGCATCACCTTGCAGAGTGTTTATTATTTAATTAAACACATAGTTTAAATGAAATTAACTGAAGTAGGCACATGCACTCATCACAATGAAAATTTGAAATCTCACCTTTGTTAGTACAACCACAGATGTTTGTCAGTAGCATAAGTAATGTAAACATGCTGTTATAAAGTGTAACAGATCAGAACATCACGTGAACAAAGGAGGCATAAAAGTGTTATATTTTATCTGTTAAACAGGATGTTGGTATTATGCATACTTGTGTGTGTATTTAAATGTCTTCTAGTGTAGTGTTTTGTGGTGACCTACGACTCCTTCCTCACCAATCCTCGCGACTCAATCAGGGTACTTAAGTTTCTTCATTTGTTATAAATGATGCTCCAAACCAAAAAGTATGTTCTCTTCTGTAGGCTCCTGTCTGTGAACATGCCTTCTGCCGAGGCTGCATCCAGGAATGGATATCTCGACAACCAACATGTCCTGTCGACCGGCAAGCTATCACTTCTGCACAGTTAAGACCTGTACCTCGGATATTAAGGAACTTATTGTCGAGGTATCCTTATGTTTTGGTATGCGAAGATAGTGTTTCACAAAACTATACTTCACAAAGTCTTACCAGTGATGCTTATTAACATACCATCTTTATTATACAGGGTGTCTCAAAAATGCATACTGTAAGAAATAAAATTATATAACAAACAAGTATGGAAATACAGGTAATTGTAGTGCCAGCATGGCATTTTTTGCTTTAAAATAAAACTACATTACCTTTTTTCAGAGTCAGTGCACAGTAGAAGCAAAAGTTGTTCACTTTATGCTAGAGTTTTTAAGCATTCAGAAGTTCTGTGCTGGCTATAAAACAGCAGTAGTAATACGTGGCTGTAAAACCGACTCTTGTATGAAACGGGTAGTGATGTGGCCAGTGTTTTGTCGATGAATGGTGCTATAAAACAGCAGTAGTAATAAGTGGCTGTAAAACTGACTCTTGTATGAAACCAGTCGGGTAGTAATGTGGCCAGTGTTTTGTCGATGAATGGACCAGAACAGAATGGCTGTAATTTTGTCTCCTTCATAGATTCAGAATTTTCATACGAGGTATCCTTCCGTCTCTCTATTGTCAGTGACAGATTTTAACTATATCCTTTTCTTGGAAGACTTAATATATGTCACCTGTGGAGTACATAGGAAAACCTAGATATGAATTTTTACCCCCCCCCCCCAATTATTTTCTTTCGTAATAAGTTAAATTTCTGAAGCTTAATGATAATGTATTAAAACATATGCAAGGTACGTTTTTCTTCATCATGAACCAAGTTGCGCAAAGTTTTGTTTTTACAATTTTAAGTTTTTCGCCATGTAAGAAGATATTCTGAAAGTCTTATTTAGGTCCAGATTAGTAAGTCATATTCATAACTATTTAAGTTTACACAGAAATTAAAAGAAAGTCATAAGTTTTTTATTTACCCAATGAAAAATTTGGTAAATAAATGAGAGTTGATGTCCAAATCTATCAGTTTTTTTTCCCATGTGTACACAAAAAAAGAATGCAGTTACATAAAACCGAATGTTATAGCTGGAAAAAAAAAGTATACAATGGAAAACCAATATTACCATTGTGAGATTTGGCTTTCATGATGGTGAACATAGAAGGCATATGGTCAAGGAAGAGAAGGCATCAAAGGTAGGAAATAAAGAAATGGAAGTAAGAGCAAGGGTAAGGGATGAAAATGTGAAATAAATTATTCTGTGTTGAATTTCATTAGGTTTTTACACTAGTAATATTATAATGTAAGTCCCGCGCCATAACCGCGCAGTCTGAGGTATCATGCTTTGGACTGGTGATACAGAATGCGCGCAGGTTCGAGTCTTGGGGAAAGAAATTTCTCATGAGATTTTTGACCGGTGCCAACCCAGCATCGTGTGGAAATTGGGGAGTTACAATGGGTAGCGTAATCCGGTCATGAAAACTAGCGATGGCTGGGGGTTCGTCGTGCTGACCACACGTCACCCTATATCTGGTTGGATGATCGTTCACCTCTGCTTAGGCATGAGAATGCAAGGCCAGCAGCCAGCTAGTCAGCTTTGGCTCTCAGAGGGCTGTTACGCCACGGATTATTAATATAATAATGTGTTTGCTGTCTTGTCAGACTCTGCATTACGTGTGACAATGCCAGCTATGGGTGTAAATCAGTTATGAAGCTGGACACTCTCCCTTCTCATCTAGAAGAATGTGAACATAATCCTAAGCGACCAGTACCGTGTGAACAAGGATGTGGTCTGATTATTCCAAAAGATGAACTCAAGGACCACAACTGTGTCAGAGAACTTCGTGCCCTCATCCACACCCAGCAACAAAAAATGGCTGACTTCCAACAAGAGATGGCAGAACAGCGCTTCCAAATCAGTGAACAAAAAAGGGAACTGCAACTTCTGAAGGTATTCTGAAATGTATTTTGTGTGTTGGTTTGTTTGTAGGAGACACTGTAGAAACTTGGACTTCATGTAGACTTGTCATTGGAAGAAACGAACAATTTTGATCATGTCTAATGGAGAAGATGGCTTTCTTCTGGTTTGTAGCAACGTGTAGTCTGGTAGAAGTTTACCAGCGTGTCAGAGGTCATTGCTGCTTCCATCATCAGGGTGATCTCATCGCCAGACCACACAGCGCTACAATCCAGAAGACGGCTATCTTTGGGATACCACCGCGAAAACCTAAAATCCTGATGACACATATAATTCCACGTCATCTGATAATGTGACATATACAAATGTCTAATTATGTGAAAAAACAAAAATTAAGCTGTGAAGGTGATTTTCTTCTGAGATACTACAGCATATATTCTGGTAGAAATTTGCAGATATTTCAGAGATGCTTACTGCTTCCATTATCAGGGCAATGAGTAAGATGATGATGAAAGCATAAGCACGTCTGAAATATTGGCCAGTTTCTACCAGACTTCGTAGTGCAGTATCCCAGAACACAGTCGTCTCTGTATCGTTATCTGAAATCTCAATTTGAATATCACTAATTTTCTTATCAGGACTTTATGCGAGCCATGCGTATATCAAATCCAGCCATGCGAGCTATTGCTGATCAGATGGAACGTGATGAAGTATTACGATGGTCAAATTCATTGACAAGGGCACGTGTTACAAGATGGGGAGGAATGATTTCAACCCCTGACGATGTGCTTCAGGTAAAAATTATGTTTAAGAAATTGTTAAATTATGCATTGCTCTTAATATGACAGGTGCCTAGGTAGTTCATTTTGTATTACCACTGTAGAGAATTTTTTAAAATTGTATGTTTTTAAGTTAGAATAGTTTTCAGGTGTCTCGTCAACTGCCGTCTACATAAGGAAATGTTCTTGTTGCACTGAATTCTTAATTTGGGCCAGGAGTGGACAAATTTTGAGTAAAACTGCCACCGCAAGAGTATTTTATCTGAAATGTACCTAGTAGTGGGAATTTGTACTGTTACAAGTTAAGCACAGAAAAAGATCCGCCAATTTCTGTGTAGCCTCGGTAAATAGAAGCTTTTAATGGACAGTAGGCTTTCAAGTTCTTGCTACAACTGACTATTAAACTTATCATTGTAGGATGTTTTGCTTTGAATTCAATTTATTTTTATGTATTTTAATTTATTATTAGTGTTGAAAATCACGAATCTGAATGTAATTAATATTGAAGAATTTATAAATTTCTTTAATACCTAGTATTGCATCTGTATTTTGGCCACAGTGTTCGTTTATGTGTTTCATACGATTTTCAGAATAGCCAGCGATTATTTCCTTAAACGGTGTCAACCAGTTGATCTTTGTAATAGAGATGTGTTGTGGTTTCTTTAATGTAGAACCTGAATTTTTAAATGTTATTTAGACAAGTTAATGGAGATGTGTTGTGGTTTCTTTAAGGTACAAACTGAATTTTTAAATGTTATTTAGACAAGCTTCAGGTTAAAAGAATTAAAAGGCCGTAAGAAGTATGGTTTATGTAAATAAATTTTATGTATGAAGATTTCTGTCTTCTGGGTTGTTGCGCCGTGTAGTCTGGTCGATACTAACCAACGTTTCAGAGGTCATACTGCCTCCGTCATCAGACTACACAGCACAACAACTCAGAAGACAGAAATCTTCATACTCACCACTGTGAAAACCTCAAATTTTACAAATTTTATGTAACCAATCATGCCAGATGATATAAATAGAAAGCATGTACGTTTTTAAAAGTTATTTTCTCTTACACATGCAGGCAATGATCAAGCGTACCTTATCTGAATCTGGTTGCCCACCACATATTGTGGATGATCTAATGGAGTATGCTCATGAACGTCGCTGGCCACCAGGTCTTTGTTCGCTGGAGACACGGCAGAATAATAGGCGGCAGTATGAGAATTACGTGTGTAAACGAGTTCCTGGTAAACAAGCAGTTGTGGTACTTCACTGTGACAACAGCCACATGAGCGATGACATGATGGTAGAGCCAGGACTCGTCATGATCTTTGCACATGGTATTGAATGACAACAATGTATTCCCACTTCCATATTTCCTATTAAAAGTGTCATAAAATATCTACCATTCTCTTAATTGAGAAATTTCAAGATATAAAGGAATTGCTATTTCTTGGCAATGTAGTTACAAATTTCCATTGTATTACGTTGGGAGAATATGGATAGCCATACTTTTTAAATTGTTTTGCATTGAGAGCTTGTTCAATATTAATTTATTTGATGCCTTAATTTGAACCTTGTAAACGTTACCAGAAATGAGAAATTCACATTATGTAAATAATGAAAAAACTTTGGTTGCAAGAAGCACGCAGATGAAGTAAGTTAAAGCTACATCTGTTGAAGACCATAAAGGGACAGGAATTCAGCTTTTATTTATAAATACAAATGCCTGTTTCTATAAGGTTATTAGCAAGTTTACCTTTTAAAAATGACGTACGTGTTTTTACATTTCACCGACAACTTTTCTCCCTGTTTTAATAATGTAGTACAGTAATTTAGATTTTTTTTATTACAGAAAGTGTATTGTAATATTGGAACTCTGAATACAATTTGAAAAGATCATTGTTTTGTAAAGAGATAAAGGGCAAAACTGAAATAATTTTTGTTGCCGTTTGCCAAGTTATAGCAAGTCCATTGAAATGGGGAATTCCACACCACAGTAGCTGACGTCTGCTTTGCAACATAAAATAAGTAATTGATATTAACTTGGAAATGCCAGAGTGGGGAATTAGTGTAGTTTATATAATAAAATGTAAAGGCAGTGCTTTTTGATCTGGCTGTGATCCGTTAACTAATTTTATGTCCCAGTATACAGTACGTAAATTGGATCTACCAAGGAGAAAATTTTTGTATGTGAAAATTCTCCCAACATTCTTCTGCCATTGGTGTGTGTTGTCCATCTTATATGATGTTGGGTATCTTTTTATATATATATATATGTGAAAATAATTTTTTCTCCCATCTTACTGTTTACTGGAGTCTCATGTTTAACATGTTGGGTTTATTCTTCATGAGAAGTCAGTTTTGTAACAAGTGTTATTGTGTGTATATGTTTCCAGCTCTTATATGAAAGCTGGAATTTGTAATTTGCTATCAGAATTGGATTTTTCCTTTTTATGTAAAGCTTAAATTTTTTTATTATATTTGTTGTAGTCTTGCGCTTGTAGTGTTGCACACAAATGGTTTTTAATGTAAGTCATGATCTCAGTTGTTTTAAGTAGCTGTAACTTTGTGAGTTTCATATTTAATTGTTTGAAATTCAAAATTAAATGTAATGAAAGTATATTCCACAGATTGATTGTTTATTCCTGTTGTGGGCACACTCAGGATCCGTGGCTACTTTTTATGACATTTTTGTTTAGAAAAACGTGATGGGGAAGTTATAGAATCGCAAATTTTTTGTACAACTCTTTGAAGCTAAACATTTTGGACCTTTAATAATCCCCGTAAACAATGCACTGTAAGACGAGTGTGCTTAAAAATATATATTATTTCAAGTGGCTTTTGTTAACAGGTATACAATTGAGCCAGATTTGTGGGACAATTAACATGTGTTCTCTTCATCATAGTCAGCATTAGTAAGATAAGAAACTTTGCTGGGATTGTTGCATCCTTACTGTGCATTGTCAAGGCACTGTAAAAGTAGAATTTTTTTAGATAGTCATTTTATTCTACTTTAAAACAGCAATCTACTACAATTTCAGGTAGCCCAAATGTGAATAATGTAAATCAGTGTGAAATCGCAGAATTTTCTTCATCCCATACATATATAGATATAAGAAATTACCGTGAGAATTGAAGTCCAGAATCGAGAAGCATTACGACACACTCGTCTGGTCTGAATGCCAGTCTAAAATATCAGAGAATCTGTAGTAATTAATTGTATAAGTACAGTATAATACATTGTACACTTCGCTGAGAACCATTGAATTTTTAGTGTAAAAGGTATAACATTATTACTGAAGACTGCATAAAATATTAAACATAAAAACTGAGCTAGTCCAAAGGTCCGTGTGAAGACTTCCAGCATTTAGAAGACATATCGTTTGACAAAAATTGTGTGCCGCTTGATTCCTAGTAGACTTGTAAATCAGAAAATATAGTTTACTTACCTTTCATAATTTCATTGCAGAAAAGAATTAGACATTGAAAATTAATTGTTTTATTATACAAAAGTGCATAATTTCGAATGTCTAAATTGTTTTCTTAAATTAGGAGATGACATGTACTCATTGAAGAATAGCATTAAATAATAGGGCTGTGCCATTTTAAATGTCTCTGATCTGCTGAAAGATATAAAATACTAAAAAAGTATCACTTGCATTTAGTGAATGACATACGAAATTTCAGGTTCTCATGGTGGTGAGGATGTTGGTGTTCATCTTCTGGGTTACGATGCTGTGTGATCTTGTAGATTGCATTATTTCAAAGAAACATAATGTCTCTATCTTCAGTTGAATGTTGAAGATGGAGGGAGTATGTTCCTTCAAATGTTGCTATCTGCCTACAAGATCATGTGACACCAGAACCCAGAAGACAAACACTGACATAAATCGCAGCTTTCTACACACTTTACTCTGTCAGGGCTGTGAAATGATGCTTCTGTACTATGAGCACTTTAGTTTTGTTAATTAAAATTGATAGTTTTAAAAACATATAAAGCTTTAAAGGCCTGTGGCATGTTCGGATTGACACACATTATAGATGTGATAGTTTTTATTAAAACAAAATATAAAAATATTTTGTATATTTGTGTCGATTCTGTTGTGCATGCCTTTATGTTAATTTGGCTGAGATTTTGTACTTAGGTTCAGAGCAAAATAAAATAAGGCCACTGTTAGGAAATAGTTAAATTAATGTTCCTTAGAATCTTTCCTTCTATAACATTAACAAATTTGTTACTTTACCAGTTACTTGCAGGAAGTTAATTGATCAGTTATTTTAATTTATGCACAGCCCTGTATGTGGACACTGATATTTCTCATTCAGAATAAGTCCAGTGTTATAATGGTTTAGCTTTCGTAGAGTAGGAAAATAGTTTCTGCTGTAACATCGCCCAAGAAGTTAATGCTGTTTTGTAATGTGTGTGTGTGTGTAAATATATAACTGAAGCAGATTACGATTTTGTTCCTAATGTGCAGCGGTTTTAAATAATAAGAAACAAAGTCCAAAACAAGGTGAAGGCCTGCATTTAACCATTTTTAACATTCTCAACATGTTTCTGCTAGTCATTTTTTAATTGCAATTCCTGACAAATTTTATATCTAGCTTTTTTTAATGTTTCATGCCCGAGTACAGAACAGCTTCCAATCAACAACTGATTTAAAAAAAATGTTTCTTTAGATAAATATCAGGCAGTACTGTCTGTTACAATGTATTTTAATTATTGCAGTTCCAAATAAGAAACACACCAAGAAATTTGCTTGTGATAATTGTCCAAATAATTGTTTATAAAAGACTAGTTTATAGTAGCACCGCTGATCTAGAGTGAATACTTTGTTGGATTAATTGTGGTATGCTTATTAATAATGAATATTATGGGCTTCAGTTACAAACTGCTGGTGTGAAGATATTTGAAGTTTTGTGGCAAATGGCAATTTTAATATCTGTCTTTTGTGTTTTCTTTATGTATGTTGTATTTTTAGGATGAATCCTTTATCATCTTGTGACATTTGAAGTTTTTGTTGTGGTGAGGGTGATGATGGTGATCTAGGTTTTGGCACTGCGTTAACTTGTCGGTGGATGCCATCATTTCAGAGAAACGTTGGCGTCTAGTGGTCTTCACAGTGCCATAACCCAGAAAAACATCGTCTTATTCTACAATCTTATCCATTTGAAGTAATCTTCAATTAAAAATGATTTATTACATTCAGTAAGTTCCCAGGTATATTTTAAGATAAATGGCTGCATTTGTGATGTTACTGGCTTTAACTGCCTAGCAAGTTAAGGGATGAGATGTCATATTTTATGCATTTATATTCCACTGCCAGACCCTCAAGTTTGAAGTCCATGAGAAAGTAATCTGCACATTTAAACATCCCTTTCACTGCAGAACGTCGCTGTATACTTCTATCATTTTGTAGCTGCGGCAGTAATTCTCTTTGTCAGGCTCCAGATGGGGATCGGTTGTGGGCTCTTGTGAACGTCATAATGAGCTGTTAGGTTCTGTAAAAAGCAGGGAATTTCTTGACTAGCTGAGTGACTTAGCTTCTCAGGAAAGACTGCTCTGTGGAGTTTGTAATCTGCTGATTTTGTTTAATCTCCTCAATACTTAATCGTCATCTTAGTGGTGCATGGTCTTGAAGATGAAGTAATTTAAAGTGTTGCATCTCTTTATTTCTTGATTATATTATTTTCTGCTATTAGATCATCACATATGAATAGATGTGGACTTTTTTATGATTAAAGGATCAAAAGTCATGCTGCTAAAATAATCCCATAGAAATGCATATAAAACCAGAACAGTGTGATTTCAGGTAGATGTGTTTAGTTCAAGATTATAAATGTAATTTTTAACTTACGTTTTATGATGTTCAAGGACTTGTTGACTTGCCACTGACGCACGTGGCTGAAACATACGGATAATTAATGCTTTATTCCAAATATAAATTACAAAATTTTGATACTAGAAAAATCGTGTTTATTTGCCTTTAACAGTTCACAAGATGTCATTGGGCAAGAGCTTTGCATATTGTAAATTAAATTGCAGTGGAGTGATTTAAGGAATCCCATATAGTATATTGTGTTTGTCATGGAAACCATCAATTTGGATCAGAGAATTAGCTTCATTTTAAAATAATTAGCTACAGATTTGTGCTTTGATCAAAATCTACTTAGCTTTGTTGAAATTTGTCCGAAGTATGTTTGATAATATATGTGGCAATTCAGGAATTTGATCTGATACTTCTAATATGATTACTTGTCATAATTCACACTTTTCTTCCTTTCATCTTGTTTTATACTGACTAATGTGTGTGGGCATCAGTTTTTAATCTAGGTAATATGCTATGAGGTGGTAATATTTTTATTTACCTCTGATACTTGCAATAATGTAAATGACGTAATTTTCCACCAGTTCAGTCCGTTACTATTGGACATGATCCTGAGACAGTTTCATCCACCTTGCATCTTTCCTCAAGATTTTAGCATTATTCTTTCATCTATTTCTGAGTCTTCCATGGGCTCGCTTTTCAAAAGTTGCACTCGTTCCTAATTTCCACTTTTGTCTTACCTAGTCCCATATTTTCACTGTTCTAATAACCTGTATAAATAATGTAATTTGTCATTGTGTGGTGTCTTTTATTCCTTGTGGTTATAAATGTTTTCCTTGGTGCTAAATTTTTATTTTATATTTTTCTCTCAAGATAAGAGTCTAGCTTTATGACATGCTCTAATTTTAAATTCCTTTGGAGCATATTGCAGTAGTAACTTGAATCTACCGTGTTTACTGGACAGAAAGGATGGGCAGTTTTCACATGATTTGGAGAAAATATACAATAAACCCTTTGAACTTCACTAGAATGTTAGTAGGTGGCATGAGTTCAACTTTTTATAAAATCAACATGGTACTGATGGCTTTTCTAGGAATTTGTAACAACATTTTTATGATTATGGACAGGCAGTTCATTTGTTTATCTTCTTAATAGAACTGTTTGATATAATTTGCTTGTATGTACCTACCGCTTGTTACATGAGTATCTAGAATATGTTAATAACAGCATGAATCTCTTTTATAATTAAGGGTTGGACATTAATGGGTGGAATTTATTTTAAAATATAGCATACTATGTCAGTCTTTGTTGTGCTGTTTGCTAGGTCATGGAGTCTGTTGCATGATTGTAAATATAATATGTGCATTTGTATAATTGCCATCAAAATTCTAATGTATGCTGTACTTAAATTGTATGCATCCCATAGAGTTGAAGAGCAAGGAGTGAAAATAGTGTAACGTCTGTGTAAAAACTGTCAGACAGACAAGTATCATGAAATAGGTAGTGTAAAAATATGTTAATTGGATACATGAGAGGGGGAGGAGTATTTGAATAAAGTCAATAGGTATACTGAACAGAGCAAGGAGGACTTTTTGAAGAACTTTTTCAAAATGTGTATCTATTGACTTATGTGCTAGTAAATGCCCCCCCCCCCACCAATATTCCTAAATAATGTACGTGTTAAGCCTCCCTTAGAATATTTTTCAGCGTAAATGTACATGTGTTGTAGGTATACACTTTACTTATTTGGATTGGACCTTCTACACAATGCAGTGTTGCCAATTTACAACCATTTGTGGTCCCTCAACAGGTTTTAACACGCCACTTTCATGACCAGTTGGCCGCACTACCGATTAAACAGCATTGCTGTTATGAACGCTTCTACGCAGAAAGTGCGGCCAATAGCATCGCCATAGTCAGTTCTCTGCCAACATTTGTTTGATGATACATTGTGTTTTTTTTGCAATATTAACTGAATTTTTAATATTCATATTTAGACATGCTCTGTACTTCATACGATTAATATAGAGTGCACCGACAAATTTCTGTTCACTTTTTTTTGGTACACTCGGCTACACAAATGTAGCATTGCTGTTGTTCCATTATGAGACTGACTGTGGTGACATAACCTTGGTCAATGGTGAATTGCTGATTCAAAATAGTTGCATCACCATGGTTACTCCATATATAACCAGCCATAGAGTTATGATTCAGCGATTATGTCTGGGAATTTAAAATATAATTAGTGTATGTTTCGTTATTTGTTACAACCATCAGTCACCACAATTCCTGCACAAAAGAGTACCTCTGGTCTTATAATTAACTAACAGTATTTGTCCTTGTATATTTTAATACTTAAAAATGATGCAACCTGAGAGTTTGTAAAATTCATGGGACACTTGACAGGAAGATTTCATAGATTCTCTCTTATTTGTGATGTCTTGCTGTATGAAAATCAAAATGATGTCTGTGGTAGAAATTTCAGATTGCCAAATAATTATTGTCTTTGCCCGTCACAAGAGTATTTTAGGTTAGAACTAGAAGTGTTTTATGTATATCTCTTTTTTTAAAGTGAGCTAAGAGTTATATTTAAAATGGGTTTATTTTTAAATCTTCATGTTTCCGCTATGCTTTTGGGTGTGTGTCAGTATATGCTGTATTAAGATATTTTGTTTTGCCAGTAATTGCTGAAAATGCATAGGTTCTCTTTTAATATTGGAGCATCTTTTGTTCAGATCCATATTACATTATTCTATTAGAAATTGTGTTTCTAGAAATATTACAATATAAAACTAAGTTTTATTTCTGTGGGCACATTTCAAGCTTGAATTACCTGTCTTCCATTGACATATTAAGTTGAATCCATTGATTTACTTTGGATATTACCAGATTCCGATCCATTTTGACAAAGCAGGGGTAACACTTGTACATATTCAGAAGGTCCTCAGTTTGGTGGTTTGCTGAGACACCAACTGACAAGTTTCTCTTGGTTTTCCTCATTTTATTTGGGCGGGGATAATACTTTCAAATAGGTCATGACCTCTTCTTTTGTTTGCTGTCGCTGAGTGATTTTGGTCAGTTGCTTAATGTCTGTGCCTTGCCACCCAGGTAACAGAGCAACTCTGACACCATCTGTACATTTTATAGTGCAACATTGTTCTTGTTACGGGAATTGTTTATGATGTCTTGTAATTTGAGCACAAGATCTCATGGTCTGTGATATTGGTACACCCCTGAGCCAAAGTAAATCCTTTGCTTTTAATTGCCCCTGATTTCTCTTTCAATTAAAATAAAAAGAACAATGTTAAATTTGCAGACCTGGGTGAAGAACAAGTATTTTGGTCACTGAAGTGGATCTGTGTTATTTACTGATGTTTAGGGTTTCAAAGTACTTCTAGTTACTGAAGAAGAAATAAATCATTTGTCTATTTATTTTGTTACAAGTGCTGGGTTTAATCAATGGTTTTATGTTGCAGGAATTAATATCTTTCCTGGTTTGCTTGATATAATTAAATTATGTTTTGTGTTAAATAAGAGCTTGAACAAAAATGGGAGTGATCTGTAATACAGAGTTTATATAAAAGTGATAAACATTATCGTATAAAATAATTCCCAATTTAAGATGCAGATGAATGTTTCGTACGTTCATTGCAAATCTTAGAATTTTCTAGCCATACATACATAATACAGACGTGAATGCGTATTACTAGCTGAAAGTTTAATGTGTTTGGATAACTGAAGCTCTATAATAACATGTAATTATATCAAAACTTGTATATCTTGAATGTAACAAATTTGTGTGTTTAAGGATCAAACTTCAGTCGAGCAGTTGTGGAAGATATTGTGGACTGAGCAGTGTTCAGCGTTGAGATCCAGCCATCAGCTGTACAAAGCACTGTCCATTACTATTACTGTAATAAAAACGCACATTCATATCTCTGAGTTGATGTAAAATGAATGGATTTTTCTTTGTTTTTTATTATTTTTTGATGGATGTATCCGGATCACTGGTCTAGTTCTTCCTATGTGCTGTTTTAAACAAATAAAATAAATATGTTATTTCTAAGGGAAAAGTATTTCTGAACCAGTATATTTTCATAAAGTTGGCTGTTCTTTGACAAGCCGAGTATGCAGTCGACTTTTCAAAGAATTTCCTGCGCCGTAGACCGAGTGTGTGAGTGAGTGTATTTTCATATTGAGAAGCTTCCTTCAGATGAGTACAAAGATATGAGATTGTACTTTTAAGTGCTATACATCACCACTGGTAATAATGAAGATATATGTGAACACTTCATTTCATATATTGACATTCAAAATACGTCATGCCAATTTTTTAAAATGATGAACTGTTATGTTAAAATAAGTTGTCAGCCAAGCATTCTGCCTTCAAGTTTTGGACTGTTCCTGGCAACACTTTTAAAAGAGACTAAGTCTTTGACCAGACAAGTTGATTTTTGCATCTTAATTTGCCTTCTGATGGAGCACTTTCAATATTGAAATTTTTGGCCTAAAAAGTAAATACAATAACCATCATGCTTGTCTTGATTTAGCCCCATGTGACTTTTTCATGTTCCCAAAATTAAAAATCAGTTTGTGTTTCCATTTAGTATCACTTAAAAGGCATTCAGAGTGATTTGACAGAACTTGAATTTCAGAAAATTACTTCCATCAGTGTTTCCAGGCATGTCAGAAAAGTTGAATGTCGTAAGGTAACCTCATTACAGGCTAGTTGCATGTATATGTATGTAAGGAAATTAAATTGTGACCAAACAGGAGAACTTCAGGAGGTATATGACCCATATTTGAGTGCCCTGATACATGTATATCGTTTTACACAAGCTGTAGAATTATAGTGTATTGGGTTTCCATTGTCATCAAAACATACAAGTCATTTGTGAGAATATAGTAGGCCATGATTGTGTACAATCTGTGTGTAAGATTAGTGATAGTCATGGAATGCCAGTTAGTTCGAAGATGCCCGCCTAGACCAGGTCGGTGATACCGTGTGCATCAATTCTCAAATCTGTAAGTAACAATCTGAGCAAAATGAATATTTGATGTGTAGTTATTAGGGCGACAGTGTATGCAATTATAATTGGTTGAATTCACATGTCCACGAAGTTTATGAAACATTCATTTATGCTTCCTACTGATTCCAAAGGTGTTCAGTAAAATACGAACGAGTGTGGCGAGTGAATGTAGCGACATTAATAACCTCTGTTGTACTAATAAATAAATATAAATACTGCGTGTGACTCAGACTTAGTAGGTAATTTCGTCTTTAATCTTCAGTTTGTAGAACGTCGCCCTAGGTAGGTAAGTTTAACCTGTACATTAACACTATCAAGAACGTCTTCGCTTACATGGTGGACATTAACATTTCTTTTACGTAAAATTTCCATATAATATGTGGTGTGTAGAATATATTATAGACACATTAGCCAGACGTTCTTCAAATAAAAATAGTAATTGTAAGTTCAGAAATAGCACCTGAGTTACTGCTTAAATAAGCTTACGTATGACTTAGAACGTCATGTATTGTAACAAAACCCTAAATGTATACACACTTGTATAAATCATTTTAATCATTATTTGTGTTCTCCAATGGCTGATTAGTTTGAATATGTGAAATGCAGTTAATATTTGTCATGAAATGCTAATTATTTTATAAAGAATTGGACGATTTAAAATAAACAGGAACGTAAGATGTGCACGTAGACTAGGTCAGTTCAGAAAATCGTGTTAAACTGCTGTAATCTAAATCGCTGCTTTTACGACGTATTGTACATTACCGAAACTACTGTATAAATAAATGCTGGAATAAAAGCATGTGAATTTTGTGCAATGCACGTAACTAAATTGACTGTTGCCGCATTGGTGGAGCATGACTCATTCAAAAGTGTTGGACAGATCACGAGGGAGGGGGTGTGTGTGTGAAAATGTTGGTAAAGGAATATACAGAATGTTCAAAAAGTCCAAATACAGTCGGTGGGAATCGTTTTTGAACGTGTTAGCCGGCTTAACGCTCCTGGCTGAGGGATATGTAGACCTACACTTACTAATTCGGCAAAGAGAGTCGCGCTCGAGTGGTTAGTATGTTTGTAAGATCTGAAGTTGTCACGGTTGTGAATACAAAGATAAATGTTTTGTGGCTTGTACCACCGTGTGGTCAGTCTGATAGAAGTTTACCAAGGTACCAGAGGTAGCACGGACCTTTGAAACGTTGGTGGCGTATGTAAAGATACTTCAGAAACTAATTTAAGTGATAAAGTGTGGGTTTCCTTTATATTACAATCATTAATCATTTACGAGTTTGATCTATTCGTTTTCAGATAATGATTCGATGTGAGATACTTCAGAGATAAGAACAAAATTATAATCCGTTCTACGATCAAAATGATGAAATAAGTTTTAAATTGCTGATATCTGTTGTTCTGTTTAACTGGAGACATCGTCTGTGCTCGACAGACAATCGGTGTTAAGATGGACGCGGATAAGTATCGTGAAAAACAAACGGAAACATCAGCAGAAGTAGCCCAAAAGGAATTTCGTAAGTATTAAAAACAATGTTTTGGCAACAGAAATAACTGATAAGTTGTGAATTAACCCGAGAAAAGTGGCTTTTGTTTGTTAATTTTAAATAGACAATTTCGTCTCCGTGGACCACGAAAACCTGCCTAAATGTTTGTGGAAGCGGTTAATTTATAACTAGAATATTATGTTGGACACCCGTCTTTTCGAGGCTAAGGGATCGAACAGCTGTATTTATGATTGACATAATCTTACGAACGAAGGTCTGAGCAAGCTTACTCCTTCATAATAATAAAATTATCAGCTTCATATTCGGGAGGTCCAGGGTTACAATCTCGACTCGGATTATGGGTATTCGTATTGGCTTGACAATGGTTTTTCGTACACATTAATGACATAACACATTTCATTATAAAAAACACTTATGAGGGATTTATTAGTAATGTTAAAGAATTCATTACAATAATAATATTTAATTTTAATTTTTTATTGTAAATATTTTGCATTTTAATAACGTTTGACGTCTAATTTAAAATGATTATCGTAAATAATAATAGGCCTATAATTTATAATCTTTTGAAGTCGAAGCATTTAATAACATTTAAAAATTCAGTCCGTACCGCAAAGAGAACACAACACTTCACCATTACGACGATCAATTGGTTAACTCTGATCGATGTTTACGCTGAGAATCATATGAAAAACCTAAAAAAATGCACTCTGTGGACAAAATAACAAGTTATTGAATGTTAAAACAGTTGGTACATGCAAATACTATTAGTATTTAAGGGGCAAAGTTCATGGCTACTTTAGTGTGGATGCAAAACAGCTGTTCTAAATTTATGTATTGTAAATGAGTCCGGTAAACATATTTAATTGTTTAACTACGTAAAACTGTTACTAGTTAAGAAATAAAATTACTTTCTTGTTTGTGAGACGTTATAGTACTCATTTCCTAAACATAATGGAGTTTAGAATTCAGACAGGTGCCATAGATCTGTACTGGCAAGGTCCTGATTTCGAGTCTCGGCCCGGAGACCAATTATTTTTATCGAAGTTTTTAGTTGTTTTTTATCAGTTTACTTAGGAACGACCCGTTCTTCAAGTGCCTGAGCACTGCGGGTACCAACTTTTCGTTGGCTCGATCTATAGACATTTTGGTAGGACTCCTTAGACGAGGGATCGGCCCGTCGCAAGGCCTCTACCTGTACACAGGACAGCACGACATCTATGGCTTGAGTGGGATTCGAACCCACGGTCCCAGCGACCAATCGGCACGAGGCCCACGCCTCAGACCCCTTTTATCAGTATTTCCAAACAAATTCTAGGAAATTATCTTAAATTAGGCCACCGAAGTTTCCTCTCAATCAATCAATTAATAATCCTATGATCCGGCGTTATGTAGTCTGAGCTACTTTTGTTCTAAACTAATAACATACGCGTATCAGGTAGGATCAGTACAATGAGTTGTAAGCATTGACAAGTTAAAGCCCTTTTTTATTGATATGCTGAAATATTAAAAATATTATTAAAATATATTAAAATTGTCCGTCAATCACAATAAAGTAATATAAGATAATTAAATGGTTAAAATATTATCCTTTGTTCCGTATCGAGTACTCGATTTACATATGGAACATTCTCGACATGTTTCGGCTTTCATAGAGCCGTCATCAGGTGTATGTGCAAAGAGAAAGTTACAAAACGTTATAAGCGAGACGATTAAAGTGTAACGTATTTTCCGTGTCTAAATTCCGACCTCCTTTTTTTTTATCAAAGATCTTTATCGAAGTGCTTTGCAGTATCTCAGGTAGATAAAGTGCATATTTGCGTAGACAGATCTAATTGAATGAGTTCAATGTGCCAGGGTTCTTGACTGTCGTTCCTCGGTGGGGCATTAAATTGAACATTAGCGTGTCCTAATTGGCGTGCATTACGCCGATGCATTTCGATTTATTTATCAGATGTGTATCAAAATGTTTGTTCTAGATGCAATCCGGTATTAAAATCGTAAGAGAGAAAGTTAGAATTTGTTTTTCATCTGAAATGACTGTCACATACTAACAAAGGCCAGTGGTTATCTAGCCTGTCGGGGCGCTGAACCTTGGACTTTAGGTTGCGTTAAAAAAATCCTGACGACTTGTTTAACTGCATGATATTTCACAGATTTGCCAAATAAGAGCACATTTATCTGCTTCATGAACTGATCTGATAGTCAATCTTCCCACAATGACCAGCAGAAATACAAAATATGTATTTTAGGATCCATTATTAAGAGGTGACTGCAATGAATTTTTTTTCATAACTTGGGAAACCGTATTTCTTTCAACGACGAATTGTCTCTCCAAGGAGAACATTAATTGTATTTACCTTTTTCAAGGAGAGTAATTTACATTTTGTTGACGTAAATACGTCTATACGGAAGGGTCATTCGGCAAAAACAGTTTTCGTTACGAACATGTGTAAGATCCATACCAAAAACGTGTAAATTTTAATTTATTATTTTATTTATTTAGTGTTC